CAGATTTTCTTATTGTGAAACTTACAGAGAATTCTATTTAAAACAAAAGCTTTAAAGTTTATAAATTGTCTTCTTTTTGTGTACTCAAAAAGTGAGTACACTCTAGAATCGGTCAGTGTGTCCGGCCGTAGGCACGATAACTTGCGAAGGAGAGTCAGACCGTAATGAAATTTTCCACACAGTTCAATCTCATGAATATCTCGGTCGAGTTCGAAGATGAGAAGAATCTCTCAAGAAATGGTTGAGTTATCGAAAAAATTGTCATTTTTGACCAGGCCATCCCTGAGGAGGAGTACAGGGAATTTTTTTCGAAAAATAAATCTTTCTCAGAATTATTCACAACGTATATAAATCGACTCAGTTTTTAACGCTGATTCCGAATCTGATATTAGTTTTGAGCTAAACCGTAGCTTTCTGATGAAACATCGTCTGAAAAACGTCTCAAAATGCACAAAAACTGCATTCAGAAATCAAATTGCCTAGTTTCTCATGATAATTTTGGTGTTCAGACATTCTAGAATAACTAATATATCCCATGCACTTTTTGCAGTACACATAACTTTCGGATGAAATCCGAAGTTTCCACATTTATTTTTTGTTGTTGAAGATATTGACTTTCTCAATACGATAGTAAAATAAACAATAAAATTTGATATTTATTCTGAGATTTTCATGGTTAATACTTTAGTTTCACGAGGAAGAAAAAAGATATCAAATTCATAATTGGAACAAAAATCTATATATTCAATACTAACTTTTGGTAAACTTTAGATTTAGTGTACTTAAAGGTAAAAGTATTAGACGTAAATCAGTAGTGAATGAATACAAAGATCAAAATTTGATAAAACACAAAGGTCTCGAGTACGTTATCAAATGCAAATTTTTATGGTAATTCTGAATGTTACAAATATTTCTTTCGGAAGACAATTTCTGATAGTTACAGTTTTAGAATAAAAGTTGATGTCAAAATAAATCTCGAAAAAAGCAAAATTTTTCATTATAAAACCACCTTTTTCTTTCAAATCATACCAAAAATTATTACGCTGAAACTTCACATAGCTTGGCATTATATAATGTAATCTCTTTCACTTTACTGTCTTCTTTCAAGTTTCTAAACAATGTTTATTTTGTGATTGATTTGTAGTGAATGTTTTATTTTACTAGTTATGCATCTCAGCATTTTTTATAATATAGAAGACTTAGAAGCGCTCTACACAATCTCTGGATGTGTTCCTTAAGGTTGACAAAGTGTCACTGCCAGAAGTTCAATGTGCCGAACAGGTACTCCTGAGAAAGCACACAATTATGTGGATTTTTTTTTGAAGCTTTATAGGCGGTTAGTGTTCCTGTAGGTTGAGATCTGACAATGATCATGAACAGCGTAGCGTTTTATCTAGTGAACGAGTCTCCAAACATAACTGAGACTTTTCTGATTAATTTTAGCTGAATTCTATAAAACGCTAATGTTAGAAATTCATCTTTCATTTTAAAATCAAGGCGTATTGTTTTGATGGCGAACACATCTACAAATATTATTCTTACCGTATTTTTTGGATCAAGTGGATTGTATGTTTTATTATTAAATTTTTCGAAGAGTGTTTTAAATTCTTCAAATATTTGAAAGATTTCAGCAGATAATGCTCGACCTATATAATAAACATAAAAATTTAACACACAATAAATTTAACTATCGTTAATTTACCTTTGACACCACCAATTTCAACTTTTTCAAGTTTCACAAAAGTGTTTGCTGTTGAAAATAAATCTTTAATAGAATTCATTCTTTCCATAAATATATCCCATTTAGCAAAAACAAGTTTAGGTGAAAAATCCCATTTAGAACCCATTTTAGTTCTAATCGCTTCATATTCTTGACAGAATACTTGTAATGTCTCAAATGTATCGTCGATTTTCATTAATGCTTCATCAATTTCACCTTTAAACAATTCCATTGGTTCTAAATGATCACTTGCTTGTTTCATAATAAGATTGCATATCTCTTGTAATAGAACAACTATTCTTGATGCCGTAGCATAATGACGACAATTTTCATAAACTAGACCAATTATATGAAACATTGGTTTAAACAAATTTTTAGCTTCTATGAAATCAGTTGTTTGTAATGATTCAAAATGGCTTGCCAATGGTCGTAAATGTGTATCGATATCTTGTGCTTCATCGAGTGCTTGACGAACATCATTATGTATTTGTAAAAATGATGGATGATATGAACTATTACTTTTAGCAAGTAATTCACCCATTTTTGTTACTCGTGGATCATTTAACTAAACAAATATTTTAAGTATTAATGAAACATGTTTCTTTTTTCTCTACATGAAAAATCAAACTCTTCAATGTTACCTGTTCTGATATAGATTCAAGATTGACACGTTTTGATTTCCAAAAGTCAATTTCAATTGATGGTATTGGATCAAGACCATCGAGTAACGGTTGTGCTGAATCTTTTTTTAATACTTCACGTATTTGATGAGACCATTCGATAACAACAGATTCTACTGCATGTACCAATTTTAAATCAATAGTCTCACCGCTAAACGAACAAGAATTTATAACAAAAAAAAAAGATCGAAATTATTAAAATGAATTATGGCACCTTCTAGAACTTGTTTGTGGTGAATCATTTCCTCGACTTTGGCCATTAGCATATAGAGCACCATTCGGAGTTGTTGAACCACTATATTTTGGATATGGTAGTAGGATTTTTCCTTTCACAAGACTTGTAACAACTTGAAGTTGGGATTGAAGATCAGAAACATGCTTTTGCAAATCCGTCAAAATAACTTCAGGCCATTCTTCATGATTTTGTGGTGTTGTCAACAATGGTCGAACGACCTTAAAATATCAAAATAAATAAATAGATATCAAACTGAATATGTGATTTATTTCATCTTATACATCATTAACATATATTTGTAATTGTTCAAGTGCCGAATTTGACAAATCACCAAAATTTAAGGCTGCAGCAATTTTTTCTTTTGAATCACGTTGTAAGGGTTCTGGTGATTTTTTACCAAAAAAGCATGCTTTACTTTTAAGTGACGTTGGAAACGCTGTTCCTACCGTCTAAACGTATAAATAAATATTAGAAGTGCACTTTAAAAATAAAAAATAAATCTTCTTACAAGATTTCCAGCAGGATTAACATGAAAGACAAGTAAATTTGGATGAGGTTTTTCACAAAATTCAAGTATAGTTTTATTTTGTTCTTCGATTTGAACCATTTTTGTCCATTTGTCGGTTCGAAGACGTAATGATTTGATAAGATAATCAGCTATGAAATGGACGCGTAAATCAGCAATGTCGAGTTCTTCGACCATCTTGCTGATATGTATACACTAGAATCTAAAAGTAATAATAGAAAAGAAAAGAAAATACTTCGATTTATTTCAAGTCAGTATTGTAGCAAGCACCTGAAAATAAAAAAAAAATCTCAGATGCCAATAATAGGCAACAATTCAAAAATGTTTTTATTCAACGTAAATGGCATTGTCGCCGTTGAAACGGAATCTATTAATGAGCTTGAAACATTTTTTCTTCTTCTTCTTCTTCTTCTTCTTCTTTTACTGTTGTTTGAATCTCCTTCGTTATCAAAATGCGCTCGCTTGTTTCTATTACTTGTTTGAAAATGCGAACCGAACACGTATACACACTTACATCGGAGAGTTGCTTGGTTACTCTTTCTTTTTTTTTCTCTCTCTCTCCGTCTTTTCAAAATTACAATTTGCATCGACTCCCCCAGCGTTGAAGCGTTGCTAGTGTTGATTCAAAACCTATGTGTCAAAGTCAATAAATCGTTTTGTTGATATTATAAAGAGGTCTCAAAAAGAGACTTTAAAAACTACGCTTCTAATTATCAGATATAATTAAGATTTATGATTTCTGCAAACAGCAGTTTCTGTTTTGCTTTCTTCCATTGAAATGAATAAATCATTCTGTTCTTTCAATATAACAGTAGTAGCAACAATGTTGATGACTTCAATGACAGTTGTCAGGCACGTAAAACAGTAACACAATGATGTCAATCAAATACTAAATAGAGTTACTATATCATTCAATTTAACGAGGTCAGAAACAATTTAATTGATCTTGTTCAATTCACGAGCTTTTTTCTTCTCGTTATTAAACATATGTCTTTCTGTAACAAAAAATGTGTAATAATGAAACATGAGAAAGATTTGAAAAGAAATATAACCACTTGACAACGACAATTCACCAAAAAAAACAACAACAGAAATAGCATGGAATTATTTGTTATGATGACAACTACTATTACTATACACTAAACTATATTAAAAGGATTTAAATAAAAATGAATTATTGCTCTATAGTGACATCTTTATGTGTATATTACACATAATTAATAGGCCGCATAATATATTTGACATAAGACAGGAGAAGAATAAATAAATTGTTTTAAATCATTCTTGAAAATCATCTTCTATATAAATATTTTACCAATCGCATATGATTTCATCGCTAGAATCAATGGTAATAATGATGACGTCCAAAATGTGTGACACTCATGTTTTTTTTTCTGTTGATTAATTCTGTACGTGAGTCTTTATCTTTTTCCTCTTATTTTATTCTTCATGATTTTTTTTTGTATCATGAATCGACAGGTGTATCATATCTTTCTGCATTTTAGTTGAAAAAATTTAAAACCAATTCATACAGGTTTAAATTTCGACAATCTACTAGATAGATAGGTCCAATATATATTCTTCGTAGAAGATCTTTAGTTTAAATCCAAAAGAACCATATGATTTTATTGTTGATAAAACAAAAGTAGAATGTATATGGATTGAAAAAAATTCAAATCTCTACTTGATACCCAATAAGAATGAGATGAAAATAAAAGACTTGATTGTAGCGATCATTTTAATTTTCATTGTCTTTATACATATTTCTATGAACGATTCTATTTACTTTAGTTTATTTATATTAACATAATTCAATAAAGAAAAAAGAAGCAATTAATCATGTTCTGGCAATGTCATATAGTAACATCATCCATTGACAAATTATTTGATAAACCAACCGATGAATTAAAAGTAGAAGATTTTCTTGATGAAAATGATTTAATTCAAGAATGCCTCAATCAAAATAAACGTTTACTTGATTATCTTATTCAAGAAAATGTTATGAGTGAACTTATTCATCATGTAATAACCTTACCAAATGATAATAATTTTCGTTATGCAAATACAGTTAGTGAATTGTTATCTGGAGATTTTCAATGTATTCAAGAAACAATATTAGAAAAACGTAACCTTGATTTATTATATTCATTTTTAATAATAAACAATGAAACACTTAATCCAATACTTGCTTCATTTTTTTCTCGCATAATTAGTACATTAATCAATCGTAAACCGAATGAAATAATAGATTATTTGAAATCTCGAGAAACATTTAAAGATGATTTTTTTCGTCATCTCGATTCAACATCAATAACTGATATATTGTTTCGTTTAATTTCTGATTGTGGTGAACAACGATCAGATACAATTAAATGGTATGAAGATATTAATTTGATCGATGGTCTTATGCAACAAATTTTAATTACAGAATCATGTTGTGTTCAATCAAATATAGCTACTTTGTTTAGTGAATTTTTACGTTTAGCTTTTGATCAACAAACAGGAAATGATTGTGATATTATGGGTCCAACATTATCATCAACTATAGAACGACTTCTTTATGGCATGAATGAATTTAGTGATGGTTTGTATTCAATTTCTTCTAGCACTTGATACAGATTATTATGATTTCATAAAGAAAATATTCTGATGTATCATCTCTTAATTAAATATTTTTCATTCGAATATATAAAATAGATTTATTCAATTTTAGGATCATCCTCATTATCTAATCATGTCTCATCGAGTGGTAATGACGAGAAAAAGTCTATGACTGATGTATTGGAAGGAAAATTAACAGCACTTGTTCTTGCACGACGTATTCTTTCGAAATCGAATCTTGAACATTTATTTGATGCATTAATCAAACAACCGATACTTATATCAAATGGATATGAATTTCTTCATACTATTTTCGATATTCTTGGTCGACATCTATCTGCGCCTGCATGCATTTCATTACTATCGAAAGATGATATTTCTTTGTCGAATAAAAATGAAAACGAACAAATGCAGGTAGAAAAAAAAAGTCATTATAAAAATGAAAAGGAAAACATTGTATATTTTAAGATCAATGATGACGGAAATACAGCAATTGTGAATAAATCAAATGAGGATATATCTGCTTTAGCCAATCTTATTAAAGATCTTCTTATTCATATTTATATAACAATACTTGAAGTAATACCCTCTCGATTGCCATCATTAATTGCTTTATTATCTATACCTTGTGCACCATTAATTTCACCATCGAATGATAAAACGCAAAATCAATTTATAAGTGAACCTCTCGGTTAGAATTTGATTAAGCTTTTGTTGTTTTTGCATTAATTATTTTCTTAATAGGATCTTTACGTCTTAATTTAATAAAATTTTTTTCAAAGCTAATCTACACAATTTCAAATGATAATACCGGTGATAATATCTATGAAATATTAAATTCCAACCGTTTATTCCATATAATAATCGATCTTTTTCTTAAACACGTTTATAACAATTTTTTACATGCACAAGTATATGTCATTATTCGTCTTCTCATTAATATAAATTCAATTGCTATTAAACAACCAAACGATATTTGGACACGCACATCAATTGACAAGCAATATCAATCAGGTACAATATTATTTATTGAAATTTATTCACTCGAAGAAAACTTTTGATCGTTATATATATATATATATCTTTTTTCTTTCTTGTTATTGTTATAGAAATTTCTAAATCTTCACCATACTATTATACAAATCGTTGTTCTTATAAATTATTTCAATCACTTTTTAAATCGTCTGAAATTAATTTATTTGAGCGTTTACTCGATCAATATGAATTAAATGTAGCTTCAACAAAAACACTAACAACAAGTTCATCATCGGATGACGCTGTCACATCGTCTGTACTTCATACTTCATTTGTATCACCGAATTCCGGACATATTGCTCAATTGCTTCGTTGTTTACGAGATCATGCATCAATATTTAATAATTACGCATCATTTTTCAAGTCTGATGACCAACAACAAATCGATGATGACACAAGTGTTATTGAAATACGTTGGCAAGCTGCACTTGATTATTTAACTGATGAAGAAAATAAATGGGCAGCGATGCATCATACTGAACGTGCACCAAGTAATTTTCGTATTAATTCTTCAGCAAGCTATCTAGCACATTTAACCGAAACAAACGATTCAGATGATACGGATGAAACAGATCAACAACAGCATCACACATTTCATATGAGAAAATTTAACAAAAATGCAACATCGTATAATGATGATGAAGATGATGATGTTAGATATTTAAAAAGTTGAAGAATTAGTATTATTGTTTGCTTTTTTTTGTTCTAGGATGAAATAGAACGCTTTGATATTGATGATGAATTAATGAAGAATGATGAAATATCAAGTGAACGAAAACTATCCGAAATGAAAAAAGTAATTAAAAAAGCACGATGTAGACATTACTGTTAATCGCAGACTGATTGATTTCCGCATAGATTAGAACGAGATTTTGTTCATACTTAGTCGTTGATAATAGCAGTTGATTGTCGTCTGTTGTGAGCTATGTTAATCTTTGGTTAGTATCTATTGGATCTGATTTTTTCCCGGTATACCTCTTTAAAACAAATTTCATCGAAAAAAAAAAGAAATACTATTCGATAAAAGAATTTCCATCTTTTTTTCCCAATTAGACGTCATTTCAACTACAATTTACATCGACATTTAATGAGCAATCTATATGGTATCAACAAGAAGATATGGATGACATGAAGAAATCGAATTGTGACGATGAAGATAACGATAATGATAAAATCAAATCAACTCCAACATTACCTGATCTATTTGAAAATCATCGAATGCAACAAGAACGAGCATCATCAAATGAATCAAATTTCGAACAGCTGTGTTCTTTAAGAGCTCATGATACAAATAATGGTTCTGGTCTTTTTCCATTTCAATCCTCATCGACGATTCGAGATGAGGTAGGAGAAGTGCAAGAAGAATGATAAAGATAATTACAAAACTATGGCTTACACAAAATACATACATACATACATGCATACATACATACATACATACATACAAAATCTGTCTGCTGCCGCCTACCGTCCCTATTGGTTTGCATTTTGTTTTTTCTATATCTATGAATCGAACACTTCGCAGTTTGTTTTTATTTATTGCCTCCTCTTTGATATATTATCAAATCCGGAAGACCATTTACTCCTTGTTTTGAAATTTTTTTCTTATTGTATGCAGATATGTATATGCATGTTATTGTTTCGTTTGTTCATCTTTTCTTTGATTAGTACACTGAATAAAAAGTTTTAAAAAAAAAGCAACAAAACAATTTCATCTTAAATGGCGGTAGCAGACAGTTTAAATAAGATTTCAGATCTCTGTATTTCTCTTTTTGTTCATATAGGCAGTGTCAAAGGATGATCAGTTCTGGAAAGATCATCAAATTCATTTACTTAATCGTAATAATAATCCGCATTTGAATCAATCAAACACACAATGTATAAGTTCATCGTCAGATGATGATATTGATGGTGATGATGACGATGGGCTTAAAATCGATTCGAATATTCCGGACGATGAAAAATATTTTGTTCATACAGACATAGAAATAAAGGAAATTATTCAACCCAATAATATGATGGACATATTCAGACGCCAATCACCGAATTCAAATAAAACAAATAATATGATTAAAAATTCTAATGGTGACAATGATTTGCAAACGGATCTGTTTACAAAATGTCAACAATCGAATGAATCACACGATATTATCGTTACTCATATATTGTCTGCAGGACAACCAGTCGAACAGCAAAATTGTCAAACATTAACATTTATTGAACACGACGAACAAGAAAATGACGATTTGAACAGTAATAGTGATCTTCTATTACAAAATAATTTTTCATTCCTCATTGCGAAAGGTATGCTAAAGCCATCACCTTTTTGATGGTAGTTCTATTTAATTCCACAATTTGTTTTTTGTTGACGCTATTTCATATATTTACATGATAGTATACTAACGATGTTTCTTTTTTATTGTTTATTTGTTTGTTCTACCACGTCTATTTTTTTTCCTGTTGATTTGTAATGGTATAGCCTACTCAATGCATATTCGTTTTTTTTTCATGACAAGCATAAATAAAAGAATGAAGATGTTCCGGGCCTTGCTGACCTAACTTGCAACGAAACATAGTTTAATAGGAAATATTTTCTAATTGTAGAACTCGAAGCTTTTTTTCATACCAATTTCACCTTAATTGATCAAACTATAATATTGCATCAGCGACTGTCAATTCTCTTGTGACGCTCTCTAAGACTAAAATCATCATTGACCTTGTCGAAAATTACACTTCGCTTTAAACATTGTTTGAATGATTTCGAGACAATTATTGATTTTCAAAGTCACATAGACACTCCAACTAACGTTCTCTAATCTAATTTTAAACTCTTGAATATTCCTTTGAGATGAGCATTCGAAGAGTCACTCTGCAAAAGCATTCCAATAGGTGAAAGAAATTTCTTTAGTAAACGATATAAATATAGTCTTAAAACATTATATGATTAGATACTTACGATAAACGAGCAAGGTTACTACTTATGTCATATAACAATCAGCAGGTAATCTACGTCAGGATTACGCAACAGACATATTGACAAGAAATTTAATCAGTCACCTTGCTGTTTGAAATTGATTCAGCAGAAAAGAGGAGAAATACTATCATAATATGAATAATCTTTGTAGAAAAATAACAAGAAAACGTTTTATTTTACTACTAGATACGAAGTAATTGGAGTAGAATTGTCTTTCTTATTGACATTTTACTTTGAAGCTAATTTTTTTTATCTCTTTTTCCCGATTGGCAATGAAACGAAGAGATTCAAATGATTTTGTTCGGTCAATTTTTATTTGTTCCGTTTAAAAAAAGATGGCAAGTTGGGCAAAGTAATAATACAGATGAACATCATTTTGGTTAAAAAAAAAGCAAAAGTATCAAAGATCACACGAAAAACGTTTTTTTCATTTTCAATTTCATTCAATTTTAGTTAAAATTATCACACGCATACACACATGTTAGAACAACTATACTAATTGCCATGCTACTTGTTACCATCAATTGGATTAAGGTATAATTTTTCATATAAGCAAGTGTAAAAAGCATTCCAAAAACAAAAATGATTTGATAACTGCTCAAATCTAAACTTGATTCTCTGTAGGGCCATTACTTTCATCATTATTCACCGGTGCTAAATCAAAATATAATGTATTAAGAATGAAAGAAATCATTGCTGTATATCAATTGAATACAATGCAGAAGAAAAAATTTGAAAGATATCAAAAACGAATGAGAACTGACGCTTCAATGAAGCCTTTCTAATTAAAAATCATTGAACTGCAATCGCTTTTTAACTTCTAATCTAGTTATTTCATTATTTTTATTTATCCTCGGAGAATCTTCTCAACATCTGTTGCTTCATCTTCTGATTGGTTTACGCGACTAAAACTATCACATGTACAAATCATCCTTTAGCATAATACGAACAATTACTTTATATTCGTCTTCCGTGCATAATAATGCTGCACTCGTAAGATCTATGCTGTTCTCACTCTCCTTCATGGCAGTTCACTGTAAGAAAAGTTCGTTAAGATGAACCTCCTTAGATGTTCACATCGAAAGATTTCACTTTATATATGTCACAGAATATAAACTATCGATATGACAAGACAGGATATGAACGCATTATCTATTGGCTGATTACGAAGAGAATTTAAAAAAAAAATATTAATACCTCTCTATGATGAATTGATAAAAAAAAACTAGCGTACAGTCTCAGAAGTATCCTTTCAAAATTGATCCAACAAAACTATTTCTTCATTAGGTATTTGATGTAGTACTACACTTTCGTTTTATCCACGCTACTTTCGATATTTTTGGCAATGCTTTCAAAGTTTTTCTTTTTCTCAAATCGAATTCCTACCACTGTTTAATGCATTTATGGCTCCCACCACTGCATTGTGTGTTGTAACGTAGATTATATAGAGTTCTGTTTTTTCATAAAATTTCATTGCATCTAATATGTGACGAACTTCGACTTAAAATAGAATAGGATTTTATCAATGAAAAGTAGAAAAAACATTGTTTTATATTAACTTACACCGACATTCACTTAAATACAGTGTTATTCCTCGTTTTTTCAAATCTTTGTATACCTAGACAAGCACGAAAATGCGAATTAGTATTTGATTGTATATTTTCTTGGTGCATACTTGAATGAGAAGTTTCACACCAACTGTATCAATATAATTGAAAGGTGAACAATCAAGAATAACATATTTGTAGATAGGTTCTTCTGATTTATTCTCTTCTAGCTTTTCTCCACAACAAATAATAGGCGAATACACAGGACAAATACCGATCAGTTCATAAAATTTTCTCTTAAAAAATGGTGCATTACACGCATAAAGAGATTCATCAAAACGAAGAATTTTTATTCTAGGATATTGACATGCCTAAATACATAATACATGATGATATAACTGTGCATGGAAATTTTTCACGTACCGAAGGAAAATAATCAATATTTTTGTAAAGTCCAGTATCTTTAACTTGACCGAGTGTAACAAATCTAGGTCTATGAGTCAAAAACAAAAGGATTAGAAAATCAAACAATCGTATGATATACACATCTACTCACTTTTGTGTTCGTATTGTATTAATAATAAACGATGTACATACACCAACATATAGACCAATATCAACATCAAATAAAAGAACTGAGACGAAGGTCATTGTCCACAAAGTCTGTTGCCGAATAAAATAAAATATATGTTAGAGATAAAAATTAGACTTAAGAGAATTTTTCAACTCTTCTTGAACGGACCAAAATAGGGTTCAATTTTTGAAGTATTTATTAGTTCTTATGCGACTAAACAGCCTATTAAAACTTCATCAATTAGAGAAACTATCATTCGACGGTGACGGGATCCTCTCGGTTGGTCCCCATTACCAATTAGCTCAACTCGTCCCCCACAAAATTCTTTCTTAGTTGATTGAATCTCAATTCGTCCCCTCAATTAGGCCATCCCTGCCTAGAAACAATTTGAAACAAATATAAAAATAATAGTCATCAATAAGAAAATTGATCGCTGCATAGAGCACTCTGCATATATCTATATATGATGTGCTTTCTTAGTAGTGTATTATTTTCACTACTGACATTCTCTACGCTCTGAGAAATGCTACTATTCACATCTTCAACTTGATCGAATTATTGCTTGAAGAGAACGAATACCAGCATCACCAGTCCGAAAAGTCGGAAGTTCACCTACGCAAACGAAAGAAGGTGAACGATGCTATTGACGAGAATCTTGAGCTCCTTCTTAATGACCATAACGGTGGATTGATCACTGATATGCAACTCGCGATTAAATGCGGACGCGCGTTGAAGACAAAACTTGTTAAATGATTTTTTTTCTTCTTTCTTTTGTTTTTTCTTGTTCCTTTTTTTACTCTTGAATAAAACAGCCGATTGTTGAAAATCATCTGTTTATCAAATTAGTCACCAATAAATGCGAATTTTGTGGGGGACGAATTGAGATTCAATCAACTAGGAAAGAATTTTGTGGGGGACGAATTGAGAGCCAATTAGTGCGGAGGGGACGAATTGGGGGCCAATTGGGGACGAACCGAGAGTAATCCGACGGTGACATTTAGAAGGTATAGGTGTGTATTATATTTCTATTATCTAGTGTATTTCACTATAAACTCGATATGTACGCCTCAATGTTGATGAGTGCTCGCAAAACTTTCTTGTAAAGAGAACTCAAATCTTGATTTTTCGTGTAACATGTATGCGTATAATTTTTAATTATAAATTATCTTATACTACTTACACATTCTAATAAACTGATTTGAAAGTAAAACACAAAATCTTTAACTTGAAAAAATAGTCCTTTTAAATTAACAATGATAATTGCAGCTAGACAAGCCATTGGTAATGGTCGAAAAAGTGGAGTTAATGCCATGATCACTGAACCCAAAACGATAGAAGAAAAACCACCAATTAGCACAGTTTTTCCTCCACTTCCTTCTTGTACCACTGAACGACTTAATGAACCCGCATTTGGATAACATTGAAAAAATGATGGAACAACATTCGAGATTCCATAAGCTAACAATTCCTATTTTAAACACAAAAAGTTACATTTTCAATCATTTATTTTCAATACACGAGTTCTTTGTAAACCTACTTGATTGGCACTAACTTTATAACCATGTTTTCGACTGAACATTTTTGCCATCGATATTGAAATAGATAAACTAACAGCTGCAATTGTAATAGCTGGTGAAATTAATTCATTGACATGATTGAATGTCGGCATTGTTGGTAAAGGTAAACCTCGTTTAATTTCTCCTACTATGGACACACCATGTGTAGAAAGTTTAGTAAAATGTGATACCACCGTACCAATAATTACCTAGATAATTAATTATCAAATAAATAAATAAATAAGGATTATTAGTAATAACATACTAAAATTAATTCACAGGGAAGAACAATACGAATCTTTGATTTGAAACGCTCATTTATATATTTTGCAAGATACAAAGCAATAATAGAACAAATACCAATAGCCGTTGATATCCAATTAATATCACGTAAGAGTATTCCTATCAACTTGACATAAAGTTTTGGTAATTTAAATGGTCCATTGACACCTCGTGGAGTTTTCAATCCGAATATATATGGAATTTGACTCGTAAAAACGTGTATAGCAGCACCTGTTGTAAAACCACTAATAAATGGTTCGGTTAAATAGACAGTCAAAAATCCAAGTCGCAGAAAAGACAATATTAACTAGCAGCAGACAAATACAAAAGCAAAAAATTAATATTTTTCTTTACTTATCATGAAAACTAACTTGAACAAGTCCAACAAGAAAAGCAAGTGTAGTAGCTATACTAATTCGTTCATTAATCATAAGTAAATCAGAGCCACTTGAAGATATAGAAGACAGTGTTTGATTACTATCTATCATATTCATCGATGGTTGTATCACACTTTCAATAGCTTGTGCTGTCATTAATGATATAACAGCAAACGTTCCTAGAAATATTAATCTATTGAAAGCAAAATGTACTCTTTCGATGGGCTACAGTTTTGTTCCTCCCCTGTTCTTCCTTTTTTTTTTAGGAAACTTTTGATTGTGAGCAATATACTTAAAAATGACTAATATTTCTAGTGTTTAATTATTTCAGTAAATAGATGAAGTGGGCCAGAACGAAATATCTAATCAGAGATAGTTCTTGATAAAGTGCTAGTCTCACCCATTCTTTTCTATTAAGTAAGATTAACCTTACCAATAGATAAATGTGGACATGTACCAAAAATCATATAGATAATCACCGGATAAAATGACACGTACAAACCTTTAAAATAAATTTTAAAAACAGAGCTACATTGGTTGAAATCTTTATTTACCATGTACAGGTGGTAATGTTGTTAGAACTCCGTAAGCCATACCTATTCTCAGTTATTTTAAATAATAGTTTTCTCATAAGTATTTCATAGTGTTTACCTTGAGGTATATGCATTATTGCTACTGTGATACCAGCAATAATGTCTCCAAATAAATATTTGCGAATTTTATATTCTTTCAAACAGCGAAGAATTGGTATTTTATCCAAGAATGAATTTAAACAACATAGAAAAGTCAATGTTGTGCATTGCTTTGCGAGATACTGTTTAGCACATTCTACTCTAGATAAGTTGGGAGTATCGCCTCCATATGTACCGACAAATGAATATAAACGACGATTTCGAGGACTTGATTCTTCGAGAGAAGATAACTGTTGATGTTCTAGATTAAGATCAGCTTCCTGATCAGAAGATATATCAGCCATATTCAAGAGAGAATCTGAAATAAATCATGTTTTTTTGCCATTATAAAAATTAAGTGACGTAGAATAAAATTTCATTTTGTATTGTTTTTTTTTTAAATTAAAAAAAACGATTTAAATTAGCTTATGCTAGAAAAAAAAATGACTACAGAAAATGGCACTATTTTATTGACAATAAAAAACTCCATGGCTCAATTGAAAGAAATGAAAAAAAAATTCTATAACAAAAGTCATAGTCGAAAACAAAATGAGATTAAAAAGAGGAAAAAACATTTGTATTTGTCGATAAATAAAATGACGAAAACAGTTGAAAAAGTTTATTTCAACTAATAGACATTACTGATTGAGCCAATCATGCTCCCAAAAAGATACAATACTGTTGCACCAACAAGAGATTTAGTGCGTAGTAATAGCGAAGAGCCAACAGAAACTACATCGATTCTACCAAATAATGATCGTAATTCGCCGCGAATACAACGGGAGAAATCGTAATATTTTTCATTTCCTTTGTATTCATGAACTGTTTTTAGGATGAACATGATTTTCAAAGTTATGCCCTTCATAGACTTCATGTTGAAAATGCTGAAATACAAAAAATTGAAGTTGAACATCTACCTATTAAACCTCTCGCTGTTTCGAGTCAAAAAGTTGAAATACAGTAAAACCTCTTTACATGGACACCGCTATAAAAAGGGCATCTGACTTATATGGGCACTGGGCGGAACGACCGATCAGTTTTTGCTGAGTATGAGTCTCTCTAGCAAGGGCACCTCTAACCTCGAATAATGGGCATTGTTTTTTCAGTCCATAGTGTACATTTACCTCTCTCACGTGGGCAGATATAGTGAATGTTATAATAAGTAGAATGTTCTTTTTTCTTCTCGTCCCATCTCTCCTTGCTGTTCGAAGAGAAAGAAAAAGAAAAGTTAGTCCGATTGAACAAAAAGAACAATTCATCTATACACTTCTCATTGTTCCGTCAATGATAATAAGAGTATAAATACTATTGTTTTTCTTACATCATATGTTCATATCATTTGAAAAATGCCGTCGTGCCATTACCTTACTCTTGATAAGAAGATCGAATTGATCAACGACTACGGTGATGAAGCTGAACTATTACAACGTAAGCTATGTGAGAGATACAAGGTATCGCGGGTGTAGGTGCGCTTCTTTTATGAAATCACGCCTTACACCCACACCTCCGTAAGATGGGCGATTTTAAAAAGTCCCGTGGATGCCCATCCAAGGGAGGTTTTACTGTACCTCGTTGGGTTGCATTGTTGTTTACTAATTTTTTCATTCTACTTATTATTACTACGTTTTGTGTTGTTTTTGCTTATCAACAATCGACAGTGAGTATCAATGAATTGTGTTTACTCGATAGTAACTGTGATTCTTATGTGTACGGCAAGAAAATGCTCATGCAGCTCAATTCAATACTGGAATGGTCGCCGATGCGTAGCCCAACGAACATATAATCAAAGTTGTATATCACAAAATCAATGCGATTCTTCGGCCAATCTTTTGTGCAGAAATGTAACTATTGGCTCATATACAGACTCACTGTGTTAGTGTTCAGTCTATGGGTAGTTTTTATAATTCGAATGATGATTTCTTTTCTTTTGCTCCTGTATAAATAAGCATATTTGTATAGATTTTTGGACAGGTAGTACGTGTGCGAATCTTAAAACATTCAATGATACATGTTCATTAAATAATGAATGCAATAGTAATGATTTTTTATTATGCATCAATGGTATTTGCGATTGTAATTCAACTCAATTTTGAAATAATGGTAATATAGAAGAAAAAGATGCAAAAAGAAAATAAACTATCGATATTTTTAATATTTTGTGAAAATAAACGAACTTATAGTGGACAACGTTCTAGTACGTATTGGTGTCACAGTGCTACGTCTGGTCTACAATGCTCTACACAATTACTGGCTGCTGGTTAGTATATACAGATAAGTATTCCGTTCAATATGTAGAATTAAGAATAGTTTCCTTATGATTAACAACTATATAATTGGATTAGATTTTATATTTTAATCTCACAACTATTGTGCACCAAATTTTATTCTCTTTAGGAACTTGTGATTATCTAACTAATAAATACTGGCGGACAGGAAATAATACTTGGTACGAAAAATTATAGAAAATTTCTTATTTTTATTTATGGTTTTCTAGTATGTCACAGTCACCTATGAATTCAACATGTACATTCGATCATCAATGTTTAACTAATATTTCTCTATCGTGCTCATCACCAACAAATCGTAGTTCATGTCAATGTGCAGATAACTATTGGTATAATACAACGAAATGTGCACGAAAGTTTCTATCTGGTGCCACTTGTAATAGTTCAAATCAAGTGCCACGCTGAATACAACTGTATGCGATTGCACAAGTAAGACTGCTCCCTCTTTCTCTCGAAATATATACGTATACATATGTTTATTTATTGTTTTGATCAAGAAAATCGACATTTTATTTTCAATCTATTTTTAGATTATACAGATTATTGGGCAGGCTTTCTCAATAGTACCTATGGTGCTTATTGTACACCTAAAATTAATTATGGTGTAACTTCATTTACTTGTGTATCATCTTATCAGTGTAGAGACTATAACTGTGTTAAATGTGTTTCTGGTCAATGTACTTGTAATAGTACATATGAATATTGGGATGGAACAATGTGTAATCCTCGATTAAATTATTCGTAATAAGAAATAATTCAAAGAAAATAACTTATTTTATTTTTTGATTATTTATTTCAGATATTCATGTAATGCAACATCAAATATGTCGAAATTGGGCATCTGTGCCTAATCTTCAATGTTTTACTCCAACAAGTGGTGGTACAACTAACCAATGTCTCTCTAATTCAACACAAGATTTTGATTATTGTCGAGATTCTTGCTATACAGCTCACGGCTGGCAAGCAGCATGTAATACAACTTCTTGTTATGCAGTTTCGGTGTGTGATCAATCAAAATCTCTTTCATGCGTCAATAATATTTGTAATTGTACGAGTATTCAATGGTGAAATACAACATCATGCGTTGGATAGGGTAAATCAAAAAAAGTCATTTTAATCAATAGAATGTCTCCTTTCCTTCAGGTACTTACTTAGCATCATGTACAACCGGTCAAGATTATCAATGTGAAGAATATAATCTTCTATCATGTATTGCTTCACAATGTAATTGTGCATCGGTTATGTATTGGCCAAGTTCATTGAACTATTGTGTAGCGAAGAGCAGCTATTTACGAACATGTGTACATCAACAAGTCAATGTCTTGTAGCAGCTGGTGTTGGCTTAATTTGCACGAGTGACCAATGTCTATGTTCAACAGGATATTCATGGAGTTCTTCACTTCAGCAATGCGGTGCAGTGGGTTGATTTACGACAAAAATATGTATGAACTTTTTTAAAATGGAATATAAAGTTTGACGATAAAATAACAGCAGTCTGGCATTAGTTTTTTTTGACTATTTTAATGGATTGAGACTAAAAACATAATAAAATGTATCAATAAAATTATATTTTAATAGTTTCTTTTTTAATTTCAAATGTTCTTAAAATATAAACCGACAATATAATATACTCTTTCAATACTAAATTAAAAAGTGCACATGATCAAGTATGTTGAAGGCGAGTAAATATCATTGGTAGTGACAATAACAAAACAATGTGATTTTTATGTATTGCAATAAATGAACTTATCTTCTCTCAAAAGAGATACTTGATAATGAATATTGAGTGTAGAGTGCCCTTTGTTTTACTCTGTGAAACATAACTCGGCATTGAAGAAATTATTTTCTTTATTTCAAAAACGAACTATTATTAATAAAGTTTAAAAAACATGTTCATCCAAACTTCTTTCATAAAATGCACTGCATAAAAACATATTTGAACAATATCGATACGCTGAAATCTTTAAGATTATGCGATGAAACACTCTCTTTTCTATTAGTTTATAGTTCAAACTGTTTAAATTGTGTTAACAATACTGGTCAAAATTAAAACTCAACATCAGAATTGAAATCAGAATTTTTTAAAGGAAACCTGGATTATTCTTGGAAAGAAACTGTCAGAAAAGAACAAGTCCTCAAAATTTTCTATCACATAAGGCTTCCCTTCTGAATCCTATAACATTCTGAGTGAAATTTTGACATCTGTCGAAGTATATTGATACTACGAAATGAAATCTTAGAAAATTCAGCCAAAAAAAAGATATTTCTTTCTTGAGATAATTCATTTTCAAAAGGAATTGACCCTATTAGTCAGTCTTTTTGTCATAAATATTTTACTTTAGGTCAAGGCTTAGGCGAAATAGTCATACATTTGAACGTATGATCCTATCAGACGAACATTTCTAAGATTTATTTTACTCTAAAAGAATTACTTCGTATCGAGAAGCAGAGAAACGAAACTTATTATTTCATATTATTATTTTTGCAGTAAAATCTCTTTCAAGCAGTAAGAACTGAACTAAATGATAGTGACTAGTTTTCTTTTCGGAAACTGTTTTTAATTAAATAAAAAGCATTTGAGCTACAAAAAAAACAACAGAAAAGCAGAATGTATTAACATATTAATGTGAAAAATTGTATGTTTCGACAATCGACAGAAGTTCATAATGGGATGCATTTTACTTAAAGATTATGTATGAAACATATGACAAAAAGTTCATCGCGAATGGTTAGCATCGGATCTACTGAAGAAAGAAAAAAGCATTTTATCTATCAATATGTATTTTCTAGAGCAATGGTAGACAAAATAATATCCAATATCATAGACATTCATTGATAAAAAGAAAGATACCCATTGAGTATAGCGATTGAAAATAAATTTACATCGATTATATAAACATATACATCAAATTGACTTCTCATTATCGATCAACATTGAAACTACACGACTAAACAATATTGAGTGACATGATGTTTTATATCGTATGACGTAAAAATCTCTCTAAAAAGTTTTTTTTTTGCAACTTTCTCTTGATCATAAAATTGCATCGTAAAATGAAACATTTTATATTAGCGTACCTAAATGTCATAAATCAGTCAGCTTTCTTAAGTGTAGAGACGATAATAGATGTTCATTTTTGATAAGTTCATAATCGATTTTATCAACAGATTGCATTGGTTTTGAACTAGGACACTGAAATGCAATATCAAAATCGATTTTATTTATTAAATTCTCTAAGAAGAATATCGTCTACTTTTGAATCTCTCTTTCATTCATGCCTTTAAACAAGTATGATAATAAAATTCTTGAAATCATTTATTAAATAAACATCGCTTTCAAAATAGGATTTAAATGCTGATCAAATTTAGAATGTAAAGCTGATGTACTATTCGATAAATATTGAAATTAAAACAAAAGTAATATGAGAAGAATTTATAGAAAAATAAAAAAAACAAACATACATGCAGAAGATAGATTTCTGAAATATAAACGTATAAGATTATCAAATTTATCGATTGGTCATATTGTCGAATAAGTGATTTCTACAAAAAGAAATTGATTATAAAAATTCAAGAAAGTTTTAAGCGAATAAAACCTTTTATCTATTTCGAAACAGGAAGAGAACCAGTTTTTGTTGCTGTTGTTATTCTAACTTTGATAAATATTTCAAATGAAAATAAAACCTCGTTAAAATCGATGAACAATATGAAAATCATCAATAAACCATTAAAATAAAGGTTGTGTATGTTTTCAGATTATCGCTCTGTTGTATTTGAATAATTCATGGAAATATGATATCATGATGATACTTTCAGAAATATCTTCTTGAGGATTTATGATTGTTTCAGAAGATCCCGATGCTGACACACGATTTTCTTTTCATCTTTTCTAAATATGTATATTAAAATGCTCGTATACGAAATAATAGCAACAAGGTTATTATTTATCATGCAGGAACATCTATAAATTCTTTCTGTGTCACATTGAATATTGTTTTTCATATACAAAAAAAAAACATTCATATCATTACATAGTATCTATACAGACAAATAAGCGATGTCGAGAAAAGATAAGAAAAATGGAAATAACAACATCAATAACAAAATGAATGTAGATATGCAAAAAAAAACAAAAAGAGCGAGAATATCAATCAGGTCGAAATAATGAAAAAAAAATAGTCAGAAAATGAAAATGCATTAGAATCAAAATAGGATAGGCTTATTGCGTGTTTGCTCAACTACATAGGACGTAAAGCGTTTAAGAAAACGAGGATATTCACGTTTTGCCACGCTAAAGTTAGGTAAATCAAAATTAATATGTTAAAATATTCATGTCTAAACTTACCCTCGCAATGCTGCACTTGGCACCCAACCGCCAGGATTGACTGAAATAAAAACAGAACTATAGTTAAACATTGAACAAACTGTGGATTGTTCAAGAACAATTGTATCCATAGTAACTTTCAATATTATGAGAAAAGTAAACAAATTATCAACAACTGAAAGACATGCGACCACTACATGGATCATTAACTGTAGGGGAACAACCAAACATAGCACAACTCGATGACCGGAACTAGTCACTAATTCATCTTTACGTTGTGGTATACATTCATCTGATAATGTTTACCTAATCGTGACTCATGTGTTATTATTTCTATTCCACATGAAAATTCTGTCTTCAAAAATATCCGAATGAATAATAAGAAATTTGTGTATGCGCTATCAAATTAACTCGGCGACCATGAAGATGATATTGAGTGTTTATGTTATTTCTATTTCGATCGAATCTATTTTATGCGAAGCATTTCTCTATTAATAGTATTCATGAAGGACAAACCATAAGACGTTCTTCTGCATGCGTATGACAGTAATTCTAACTAAATAAACTCTGAAAGTACGACGAAGTTCATTTATCTTAATCAAGATAGTTGACTTTTTCTATATTTTTTGTTTCAAGCAAATAAAACGTTTCTACATACCAAACGCGACATAAGTAAGTTTGCATTGAATATTTTCACGTTTAATATCTTTTGGATCTAATGGTGGTTCACTTATGATTGTTTCGCATATTAAAGCAACATTAGCAACAAGACGAACTTGGGGTGACTTAATCTATGAGAGAGAGAGAGAGAAGAAAAAAGAATAAAAGTTCTATAAAACAGAATAAGATAAATGTTTATTTTTTTACTGGTGCAAGTGGATGTGGTGTTGTGTAATTAACTACAAGCCATGTTGGTTGATCTTCATCGGAATGTGATATACATCGAATATGAGACCAAAAACATGAATCACGTTGTGCAGCTGGCCAAACACGTTTATGTAACTGGAAAAATATCACTGTATCTGGATCTAATGCTTCAATTATTTTTGTCGAATCAAGTGTTGCTTTAAAAACAATAGATTAAAAATTTAAAAAAAAAGCCTTTGCAAATAACGTACTTTCCCATTCCATTCGATACTGAAACTCCCAAAAGTACCGACAAATTTCATGACCGGTCACACCCTAAACGTGAAACAAGAACAGATACGAAATGAAAATGAATCCTGTATATGTTCTTACTTTAATTGTATGAAAACATTTAAGGGGATCAACAACAATTCCATTTTCTTCAACTTCACGTCGATAGACTTTCATTTCACCGTCTTGATGTATTAAATCCCAACCATTTGATACATCTTCGCGAACATACTGTAAATGTTCTTGAACAATACGTTCAACCTAATAGATTAATAATTAGTAATAAAAAGTGAAAAAAAAGAGTTTTTTTTTGTAATATTTACGTCATCAGTTAATCGATGTTTGCCGTTACTTTCTGAATTATCATCATTTGATTTTGATACAATCGTTGAAACAGGCACTGCCTTTGGTACATGTTTTGATGAAGACTTTGATTTATTTACTGTTGAATTAGTGGAGGATTTAGAATGAGCTGATAATTTCGACTGAAAACAAAACACAAAAGAAACTTTATTGAATATTCGAGGTGTATAATTTATTCAGACCTCATCCGATGATAAAGAACTAGATTCATTTTTAATAAAATTCTCTTCGAAAATTTTATTCGAAAATGACGATGATATTTCAAGAGAATCATTATTTATGTTATGAATGTCGACAGAAGATATAGGAGACGATAGCAAAGATGATGCAGTCAGTATCAAGGGATGTTTACTTTGCTGATAGTAAGGTCGTAAACCGCCAACATAACAGGACGATGATGAATAAGATGAAACGAGTGGAGTTAGTGAAATAATTATAGTCGACTTTTCATAATCTGATTCCGATGTATGAAAATGTTTTTTTCCCGATCGCATTGTCATCGTTTACGCTAAATACGATTTTTCTGTGACGCTTATCAATATTATACACGTCCGTAAAAGTGTCTTCGTAGTTATAAAAGATTTATCGTGTTTTTTTTCTCTCTATTGTTTACGTATCCTCGTTTTTTTTTCTATATTCTACTAGCAACATGCATCGTTAATATTCATATACAATGACAAGACTCTAAAATGCATAGCTTTACCAATGATGTAATAATATCGATTGAGAGAAAGAGAGCGTGACAGCATATTAGTATACAAGCTTTTATACGTTAAGTTTTTAATTCATCATCTAAACCAAGTTGATAATGTGATGAAAAAGAAAAGAACAGTTTTGTCATCATTTGTCTATTCTCTTTCTTCTACTCCTACATATTTTTCTACACATTGTATCGTTATTTTTGTTACTCATTGTTAGTTTTATGCATATATAACCCAAAAATAAAAATAAGGAAATATTAGTACTTACTGAAATTGGATATTTATCAATGTCACGATCGATTCGATCAAGAGATTGATCGAGTGCATCGAAAAATTCGTCTTCTTTTAATGTACTATGTGGTCCTTCCTTTAAAATAAATGGAATGTATGAATTAATTTCATTCTAATAATTGATTTACTTCAGCATCTGGAGAACCGAATACGGGAACTTTTTTCTTATTGATTTGATTATATAGATCTTGAAATCTTTTACGACGTTCTAATTCCTATAAAAATTAAAAATTTTAATATAAAAATTTGCCCTTGTTTTTAATATTTACTTTTTCATATTTTTTTCTCCAAATATCTTCTCGTTTTTGCATTAATTCAATAGAAAATGCTACATTATGTATAACGCCATCAGTTGTTGCTTTAAATGTTAAAGCTGAACAGCAGAAAAAAAAGTCATTATTATAAACAATAAAAAAATTGAAGTAGACAAACCAACCTTCGCCTTTAAAATCAATAGCCATTGCTGCATGATCATCAAGAGCTAATCGATCGAATTCTGAAAATAATTTAAAAACAACAATCGTGAAAATTTTGTTTGTCATTAAAAGTCAATACAAACTTGGTTTTATCGATGGATTTCTTACTGTATCACCGTCTAATATTGACTTTGAATCATTTTTATCTAATGATTCTTCAAAGTCTAAATCAGTTACATTTTCATCTTTACAAAAAAAATCAATATATTATCTAATTTTTTTCTAAATAAATTAACTAACACTCCTTTTGATATGGTTCAAATCCTTTTGTTACTGCATTAGCACAAGCATCAAAGTAGGTTTGTAGTGTAGCAACTTGTTGTACAAGTAATTCTCGAAATGTTTCTAATTCATTTAATTTTTCTTTTAAACTACGATCTTTCTATAATGAAAATTTAAAAAAAAGACAAATACTTGATTTCACAATTTCAGTTGTTTTTCTCTAATATTTTTACTTTAAATGAACCAGTTGACGTAACACTGGCACTTGCTGTAGATGCTAACGAACCAATACTTGGATGACGTCTTAAACTTGTTTCACTGCCATAACCGGATTCACTTTTACACATTTGTTTATGATCTTCTAAGGCTTGTATCCAACGTTCACGATCTTCGGGACTATGTGCACGTAAATACCATACTGAATCACCGACGCGTACATCAAAACGACATTCATCAAATTCATGAGACTAAAGAGAAAATTTCTTGTTTAACATCTGAGATATATCATGTTTTACTCAAAAAACAACGTCTTTACGGTGCACTAATGGTATATTATTATTCTATTGACTTATTAAAATTATAGGAGATGATATGTTTATTTTTCGAAATTGTTCTGCTCTAAAATAAATGTTTGATTTGTACCTGAATAAGAGCTTGTTTCACAGACAGAGCTCCCCGACAACCAAGGCTAATATCATATTCATTCTTATAATAATTTAGAAAACCATGTCTTAATATAACATATCTTTCTTGCCAGCCATGCAAATAATTAGTCCATTTGAAAACTCGTCCTTGAAACTCTCCGTTTCTAAACGAACCACTAGTTGTTTTTTCGTCGTCAAAAGATTCATCATCGTCCGATGATGTTGCATAATCAAGAGTTGTTGCCATTCAATTCTTATTCTTTTCTACATATAAATACAGACAAATGCATTTAAGAAAACGAAAAAATTTGAAAGCAGAAAAAAAAACAAGCTGAATAAAATAAAAAAAAAGAAGAAACAAATATCCATAGGAATGATAAAGAAAAACTATGGACCCAATTCAATTACAATTGGTTCATTAGAAGGACGAATAAAAACGAGAGGAATAGCATTATCTTTTTGGGTATCGCTGCTTTGTTATTATCAGAATAAGCTATTTCAGATAGTTATCAACAAATCTGTATCGATGAATTTTTTCAATTATCAGTATCTTGGTCGAAAACATCTACAAGGTCTCAATGAATATAAAGTAAACATAAATAAAAATGAATTAATCTTATTTTTTTTTTGTATAATTAATATTATTTTTTAGTATAATGCAATTGATACATCGCCTATATCACTTTATATCATGCAACCTTTTTGGAATAAGTGTGTTGAGGTAAAGTAAATCTTAGAATTGTCAATAATATCTATGTGACTGAGTCACCATGCATCATTAATTCGTATTTTTGAGTCAGATTAGTAAATTCTAAGTAAGGAATCGACGATGGAATATACACGCATATGTTACTCTTTTTATTGCTCCATCTATTGATAATAAGTATCTTTCAATGAAATACAAAGGAATGATATCCTTATAGCTTTTTCTTTTTCTAGCTACGATTTGTTTTTTTTTATTAAAATTGTAGGCTAATCGAAAGGGTTTCAAGGAAGAAAACTTAAAAATTGTATTATTTTAGTCTAAAATTTTTATGTCTATAAATAGTCGAAAAAGGCCATTAGAACGTGTAGTGAATTTCAGTATAAATTGTTGTTTTCATTACGAAATAATCACATTTTATTTATTATTCAAAACATGAAACGCTGAATACTGATCATCACTCGAGACAAACATTTCGTAGGTGTGAAGAGTCTTTTTTTCAACCAATCGAATTATTGTACCGTCTTTCTATTGAAATATATGTTGTTAGGCGCACTTCTCAGCTCGAAACAAGATGTTCCAGGATTAGAAACCTAGCGAAGAATTTCTATTTCAACGGTGAAACGTTAAAATAGATGTTCTTTGTCAGTTTTTTTTGCACCTCATCTAAATCTAATTGTTATCAAAACTTGAAATCAAGATGGTGTAAACATCTAAGTGCATTTTTCTATGTAAAGATAAGAGCCATTAGTTGACGCTTCGACTAAAAGAAGTTATTGTGATATAATCACACATATCTGAGAGGAAACAATGCTTAGAGATAAGGTCATACTTTGAACATAGATCAAAACCAGAAAACATCTTCAATCATCTTTGCTAAAAAAAACACATTTTTTTGATGGATGTGAAAATAAATCGAAATTTATCGTAGTGTTCATCATATAATCTATTGAAAAATAACAAGTAAACTTATCAATCACTATCTTCCTCGAATAAGCAATTCTACGGGGAAAAACCTTTTCACATTTTGTTTTGAGTTGAACTAAGAGATTAATTGATTGTTGAGAAAATTTTTCTTGAAACTAATTTAATCATTTCTTTTTAATGAATTACATGAAAACAGAAATATCGATTGTGTACTATTTTTCTTTTTAGTTTTTTCCACGATGGTTTGCACCAAATTTAATGACGTTTCTTGGTTTTCTTCTTCTCGTTTTTAATTTTCTTATATTTTCATATTACGATTTCGATTTTACGGAATCACTTGCTCTGCCAAATTGGATATGGCTTGTAGCAGCAATTTGCCAATTTTGTTCACATCAGTTAGGTATGTGATTGATAGATGAAAACAAAAGCTTGAAATAAATAATATTTTGTAGATGGTATGGATGGAAAACAAGCTCGACGTACAAAATCTAGTAGTGCATTAGGAGAATTATTTGATCATGGTGTTGATTCATGGGCTTGTTTTTTATTTCCTGTTAGTATTTTTTCTGCAATATCACAAGATGAATATGGATTTACACCAATGGCTATGCATTTTCTTCTTTGGACTATTTATGCATCATTTATTGATTCACATTGGGAGAAATATAATACAAAGATTTTATATTTACCATGGTCGTATGATATATCAATGCTGGTAATATATTCAATTGATTATTATCTATTTTTCATTTAAGTTTCTATTTAAATTAAATAGTTTATGACAATAACATATTTATTGGCATACATTTTTACGCCAACAGTTTTCCGTTTTGATATTCCAATTTTGAATGTTCCATTTTCGAAACTCATATTATTTGTTTGGCCAGGTGAGATATTGTTTTTGTGAAACACGATCTGAAAGGAGTGTTGTAGTATATAGGGTAGAAATTTGGGCCTACACCCGTCCTCCACACAGGCCATGATAGAGAAATTAATTAATTAATTAATTAATTAACTTTTCTGTCACGGTCTGCGATGATCTCTGAATTCTCTGTCATGGTCTGCGATGGTCTCTGAATTCTCTGTCACGGTCTGCGATGGTCTCCAGAGACTCGATACATCATAATACAGACCGTGGTAGACGTGTTCCAGAAAAGGAGCTTCATCGTGTTTCACATTTTAATCCCACAGAGATTGCGCTAACAGCTTTTTAATATAAAACTAAAATTTTATATCTATTTCGATGTCCTTTTTAGTATTTGCAATAGGTACATCAATACCGATAAGTATTAAACATATCCAAGCGTAAGTAATCATTTACTATCATTTAAATTTTTAATGAAACAGACTCGGCAATGTTTTACTAGCGATGTAAAGCATAGGGGAATTCGTCGCGAGTCGTATCTTATCAAGATACTTTCAAAAAAAAAACTTTTGCAATTTTTTCTGTTATTATACTAAATTAGTACCGTTAAGTTGAAACGATATCTTTCACCACGGTTTTTCGTATTAGAGTTGCAGACATCGATAATGGGTTCAAAATTATGCTAGTGTACAATATTTCTTTAAAAAAAATGAAGCTGTGAGAATAGTTTGTTCTGAAAGCAGCTCTCGTACATCGTCACACGCATCTGAAAATCGATTTCATTTTTATACAGTATTGTAGAGCTCGTTGAGATACATCAAATGATATATAGAAAGTCAAGTTTTCACAACGGTTTTGTGTAGTTACAGTTGATATACTATCTATACTGGCATAGGGATTTGCATGGTACTAATAGGAAATGTACACTCCTATGATCATCTCTAATGAGTATATACAGATTTGGTTTTATAATTCAGTTCGATACAGTTATGAGTGGTGCTGAATTTTTCATGTTTGATAGTTTTCATCAATACTACTCTGCTACGGAAAAGAGTCATCTTCTATCGATGAATGTCATTTTTTCATCAAAATGCACTTTCCTGTTTTCTGTCCTGTGCAGAAGAACAATGTGGTAACAACGTGAAACTTCCCTAAAAACTGTCTATCACTGAGCTCTACATATTTGATAGACTCAGTTTTTCTGAGCTGTAGGGGCTCGTTGGTAATCTTGAAAATAGTGGTAAAAAGTCGACTCTTTTGTCATATAGAGGTCCCAGTACATAGACAATATTCCAACAATATACACCTTGAGTTCTGAGAATTTTTATGCATTTCTAATCAACCGACATTCCCCAACAATTTGACGTCAATAGATCCTTTTGAAGTCGAAAAAAAAATTTTCTCTTTTATCATCCTGGAGGGGGGTACAGGAAAGCGAAAAATATGGTTTTTGAGATAAAGAGGATCTATTAGTAAATTCTTACAGAGTTTCAACAGTAGACACAGTATGCCTGATTGAAATTGAGTTTTGTAAAAGAAATGTCAAAAATTATAGGTCTACTATTTATAACTCACACCCTGTACCCCCCTCCAGGGTGATAAAAGTGAAAATTATTTTTTCGATTTCAAAAGGATCTATTGACGTCAAATTGTTGCGGAATGTTTGCTGATTATAGATGTATAAAAATTTCCAGAACTTATGCTGCACATTGTTGGAATATCGTCTACGTAGTATGACCTCTGTATGGCAAAATAGCCGATTTTTTACCACTATTTTCAAGATTACCGACGAGCCCCTGCAGCTCAGAAAAACTGGGTCTACCAAATATGTAGAGCTCAGTGACAGACAGTTTTTAGGAAACTTTCACGTTGCTACCACATTGTTCTACTGCACAGGACTGAAAACAGTAAAGTGCATTTTGATGAAAAAATGTCATTCATCGATAGAAGATGACTCTTTTCAGTAGGAAAGCAGTAGTAATGAAAACTATCAAATATGAAAAATTGAGCACCACTCATAACTGTATCGAACTGAATTACAAAACTAAATATGTATATACTCATTAGAGATGATCATAGGAGTGTACATTTTCTATTAGTACCATACAAATCCCTATGCCAGTATAGATAGTATATCGACTGTAACTACACAAAACCGTTATGAAAACTTGACTTCCTATATACCATTTGATGTATCTCAACGAGCTCTACAATACTGTATAAAAATGAAATCGATTCAAGAAAATTTTTTTATCCGGCGGGGTCCTTTCCTTTAAAGAACACGCATGCAATTTATTTTCAATACAAATTCGTCGTGATATTTTAAGGAGATATGAGTTTAATTAAAATATCACACTGATATTTCATGGGTAACAGAACCTTTCAAGAATCTTCTGGTACGACTTAGTGTAAGAAATCAGAGACGACGATTTTCCGTCTGATCTTATCAGATCAGATATGATCAAACGTAAGATTCTTGTAAGATCTTGCAGTCTGATTTCTCACCCTGGGTATCTATTTTCAAAAAGAAAATATATTTACATGACTTGTGGATAATGTTCGTTAGTTGTTATCTGTTGTATTTCACGCCATTTTGCTGGTTGAAGAGTATAAGGATGTGGATAATATTTGTCACTATGTTTATAGCTTACAGCAAAATCTAACGAAGTATTGGCATCAACCTAAATCAGTAATATGAAATCTATCTTTTGAGAAATGACAGATTCTCTTTGCCTGAGCATAAAATTTTCCTGTGCATCGAGATACGAATTGAAATACAGCAGTTGGAGTACGATTTTGAGATTGCGGCGAAATATATGTAGCTAAGCTGTCAATTAAAGACAGAATGGAAGTACTCAAGTAAAAGTGATATGTTAATACTCACCCTAATTGTAAATTCGACAAAAAGTTTAGATTTTGATTCATTGATTAGATTAAGCAAAAGAAATTGACCGAAAACTTTCAAGTATTTAGGCCGCAATCCGTTTAACACTTGTTAGCTTTTGAAGGGCTTCGCAATTTATTTTCATACACACACATATATTTACGATTATTGTAAAATCTGTTTCATTTGTTCGCACATGTTACATTGGTTATAGATGATACTGAAATGAAAGAGTATTTAAAAGTTCTAAAAGTCAATAGTTTTTCTATTCTTCTGTTCGTCACTTCCTCTTTTCAAAAAACTAAATATTATGGTACGAATTACATTTTTCTCGCACATGTTTATATCGCTAAAGCACGTCAATATGACGAAATGAGAGAACAAGAAAAATAAAAAAATATTCGTTGAAAGAACGAATGAGAAGAAATCCTGTTGAGTTTAGTTTGCTTGTATCTTTTTCATTTTGTGCCTGTGAATATGAAAAGCTTAACACGGATGCTTTTAATCATTGCAAACATGAAAAAACTTAGATGACGCCTATCAACCTAAAATGGTGTGAATTGTATTCAATTTTCAAATATCTTCGCTCATCCGTATCAGATACTATGTTGTCTTGGAAAAAATGGTGCTCAATCAACAACGAGAATATTTAATTTTCAGTAGCAAGCATTAAATAGAAGCAACAAATAGAAATAGAGAAAATTAATATCGTCATTTACATTTCTCTTGAAAAATTGATGTTTGTTCGATTTACAGAAGTTTGCTATTCGTATGATACACCACAATTTCAAAAATATTTATTTGCTCTATTTTTTCAACGGTATATTATAATGATATCAGGTGTCTGTGACATTTAAAGTAAAAACTCAAATCAAAAACATTTGCTGAATATTCACTTCAATTGATTGTAGGTGGAAGTGAAAATAGAGAAACAAATCATAATGCAAATATAGATTATCGATATTAGTTTTAAAACAGTCGGAAAGAAAATGCGTAGGTCTGCCTGATATTTCAAAATAGAAATCCTATCAATCTAAACTCCATATTGATTTATTATAATTATTATTCGAATAAAATATTAAGAATCATCTTTGAAAAGGTCAGCAAAATCCGAGATGTATTTTTGTATTCAGTGCAATAAAAAAACAGAGATTTTCCTTTTTGTTTTCAATAAAACAATAATTTTGAAACAAATCCTAGCTTTTAATTATTGTAGAATCGATACGTAATTCTTATTTAAAAGAGTAAATCGATTTTTGGTTGTAGTTTTAGACTTTTTCCATCTATTATATCAATTGTGTTTAAATTTTATGCAACTTTTATTAATATTTGACTTGGCTCTTGACTTTATATTTTAAGCATTTTTTGCAATCAAAGAAAATTATGTTAGTTCTTATTTCCCACGACTATCTTCAATTGATTTGGTTGCCACTAAACTCTGCGTATTTCCATTTGAAGTATCTGATGATGAATGATTCTGTAAATAGGAAATAAAGATAAGAATGTAAGAATTTTCTGACTCGAATTAACATTTACTTCCTTTGTTGTCTGCCGCAGACATCATTTTAGCAGCTTCTAAGAAAGTAAGAAACTGAAATCTACACCAGCAATCAATAAAATCACTTACGTTCATCGACTTTAGGCAGGTCGAATGATCCGCTGCTACAATAATAACTTGTTTTATTTTCGTTTACATCCATAATAAGTTGAGCTATATAAATATAATAAAATTCATGAGATTATCTATGACAAATTTTGCTATCTGTTTCGAACTGCATGTATATCTCAAACTACGTGGCTAATTAATTAGCCTGGTTCGATTGAATTCTATGAACATGTAACTTTATTATTTAGCTCTTTACCGAACGAGTCTGTAATTAAACAATTTTCTTTTTCATCATTTCATACATTCGTATCATTTGAACTGTAATCACAAAATGCAATAGACTTACGTCAACCCATTAGTATTGCCTATTTTCTTAATAAATACTAGGGAGAACAGTTTCTTAACGTAACAAAAGACATTTAGTTACAATAAGTACAGAACATTTAGAATAAAATTATGTCTAATTTATCTACCTTCTTTACAAAACAAGAAGAATATTTAGAAGTTGTGATATTTTAGTTGAACTTTTATTTCGTTAATGTTTATACTAGGATATACAAGTATATAAATAGTCTATTAGTGACTAAGGAGGTTTTTTCCACACCCGGAAGTACTCGAACTCATAAAAAACATTTTGTAATTATTTATAGTGCCTTTAGTTGGTAACATTTGATGACCATGATTAGTTCAAGTTCGCTGTGCATGAAGGTACACCTACGATATTTGAATGACATAATGTGATATTTTATCCGGTATTAATACTGCGATAGAATGTTAAACCTTGTTTCTTGTCTTCTACATTAGTATTGCTTATGGGAATTGTATTTGATCAAGAATATAAGTATATAATTATATAAAATAAAAACGCTCCATAGACTGTTTCATGCTTTCTAATTCTAACAGAAAGAAAAATTATGCTTATTTGTTTCTATAGACTAATTGGCCATTTAATAAATAAGGCTATATTTTTATAAAATTGATACAAGGAGATTTCCTATTAGAGAAATCATTTTTTTGTAATATTTTTGTTTTTTACAAAAAGCGGAAATCCAGCCAAATTTATCAAAGAATGAATCAATATCAATAATATATTATGCATACTCTCTCATAGTATCGTAATAGAAAAGCACAACAATGTAGTCAATTTTTTATTATTTTCTAAAGAAGATTCATATAAAAAGTTGATTAATACTAATCATTAACTAATATCACCGAGAGCGCATTTTGCTATAGGTTTTATTTCTCATTTATGTAGATGTATGTTATGTAATGAGACAAAGACAATTTTAAATCCATTTGTCAATATTATAATACAACATATTGTCTACATTTATCGATTGTATGATAATGTATGAAGCAAGATTCATCGTCTATGCGATTAATCGAAAAATAGATAAATAATTGCGTATTACTGGTGAAGAATTATTTTCATTCAGCAGTCTGCTACATATGTATATGATCATTTTTATCAGTATCTATCCTTTTTAATAGTTTAAAACAAAATTGAAGTGTACAAGATCGACTAAATTATCTTTGATGATTTCAAAACATATAAGAAAATCATAGTTACAAAATAATGAAATGATATTTTTATTACGCAATTTAGCCAAAGTACACAATTTCAACGAGAATATGATTATAGGAAGTATTTAAAGAAGTAAACTTGCAAGTATCTCGTAACGCAAAATATTTCTTCACTATAACCTAGATTGTTGACATCTAAATACTATGGACGGACGATAATCGATCCCAGTTTTATTATTTCAGTAATATTTATTTAAGAAACCACGCGATTAATTCAATAGTAAATAGACGGTGCTTGATAAAAATCATGCCAAGTTCTATTATTAGTTTTTAATCATGATATTTTTCAATAGCGAAAGCCCTGCATTTGATAAATCCGTTGAAATTTATCTTCTCAAAAGTAAAATGGGTGCTCTCGCGAGCAACCACAAGTGGAAAACTACGGTAGTTCATGTAGGGAAAAGAATGATAATTGAATGTCTGCGCACTATTGAACTGTGCATCGTACTGGTGACGATAAAATTTCCCAGAAAAGAAGCAGAGAAAATGTTTTTTCCGAGTTTGAAGTCGACATTGGAATCTGTGAAAGAAATTTATTTTTATGAGTTCAACTCTAAGGTCAATAAGTACAACAGTGAGACTTTTCTTTAGAAACAAGTTTACACACGAGATACTCCATAATAAACAAAAATATGAGGATAAAAATTCCCTCACTTGCATGATTTTTTCTTTTTCTCAACAACTTCAGCAAACATGGATATCAATCAAATGTCACTAGACACGTGGAATCTTCAAATAATCTCCTGGTTACTTCAAATATCTTCGTATTTTTCGACCTAACTTGTACTATAATATAGGAAAATCATAAAATTTTCAGAATATGAATTTTTCTCAAATAGTAATTATATTTTCTTCTTCAGTTTCATCCTACATCGAATTTTATTGATATCAATTTATGACATAAATCACTTCTGTTCACTTCAATGTAGATAGTCATCCATAGCACGAAGTTATTTATTTATGCGAAAAAAAGAATGACACTTGTAACATCACTTTCACGTTTTAAAAACGATACACAAAAAAAAATATTTCATGTGCTTGTTAGTATATCTATACTTTAAAACCTGTTTGAACAGACACTAATCTATCTATCCGAAATAATAATTAAACTATTATTTTTAGAAAAATTCAGATCTGACCTCATTACACTAAATCATAAAAACAAACGGACATATAAGAAATTCACGATGCCTCAATTGTCAAAAGAGAAAAATTAGACTAGTTAAAAAAAAGAAATGCATCTGATTTGTATCTCAAACAGCAATAGAAAAAAAGCAATCATCATTCTTGAGCAAACCAAATAGACCTTTATGTATGTATCTGACGGTAAGCAAAACAAAAATGACCCATAACCGAATATAACAGAATTATTGCAAAAGAGAAATTAACACATAATTTTGTTTTTGATTAATATCTAACCGTTTGATCGTGGCCACGAATCCAGACCAAACAAGAGTCCAAGTATAAGAGTAACACCACCGATCACACTAACGATGCATAAAGCCAGAGCTCGTCTATTTAATTTACGTGATTCATCAAGAAAACCATCTTTACATTTAATTTGTGCCTTACGAGCTAAGGCAAACGCGAAAGCACCTATATACAAAAGAAAAATCATGTTAGAGAAAAAGTTCGATTGATTCAAGAGCTTTATTTTACCTGTTGGTGGAAAAAGAAAAATACAAAGAATAGAGAACCAACGCCAATCTTCCGGACGTTTTGGTAATTGTGGATCAAATTTTTTTCGACGCTCTACAACTGTTGCTGTACTTGATGCCTTCGAAACAGCCGATGAATACGTTCGAATTGTGAATGTACTGGCATAGAGTGGATTAGTTGGTCTCACTTGTGGATATTCTAGAAAAATAAAAATACACATTAATATTTAATTTCAGTTGCTTTACCACTATAAGTTAATTTTGAAGTACGTGAACCAACTGATTTTGAACCTACAGATTTTGTGTCAGTATCGCTATGTATGCTTGAATATGGTCGAACACTACATGACACTGGCGATCCGAGACAATCGAGTTTGACATCAATGTCTGATACAGCTATCGCTGTCGACGACATCGATATTCTGTTTTAGTCACACTTTAAATGTGATTTGGTTTGTTATTTCATTTTTTTTGTCGCTTGATCTTAATCTTCATTCATACAATTGTGTTATCCAATCATTTCCGTCCATCGAGCCTCGCGAGTGATGATCGAACACAATGCATAGCTGTCCCAGAGTATGATTGAATTTGATTGGTATTTGTAGGATAAGAAAGCGGATTAAATCTGATAGTTTAAACGTTTGGGTTTTCCTTAAGCAAAAAGTTTTATTACATCGCCTTTGCTCTGTTGTTGTTGTCATCTCAGTGGCTTTATTTCTGTATGGCTCAACAACAACAACAACAACAACAACTGCCACATGGAACATCTCCATCGAAACCAACAACCGTAACTTCATCAACATGTGCATTTCTGATAACTGATTGTGACGATGACGATTCAGGTTCGAATACAGCAGCAGTTGCTAGTAGTAGTTCGACTGGAGGCACACCAACAAAACGAAGATTTGGTTATTCGCGTCAAGAGAAAAGCCTTGGAACATTAACACGCCGATTTATGTCACTATTGAGACAATCAAAAACTGGTGTGATGGATTTAAAACAGGTAAGTTTATTAAATCGAGCAGTAACATCAAAATCGAAAGCTCTTAATTCACTGTTGTTATTATTCCTGAGATTTTCGCAAAAAAATTGTAGATAGAATTTGATTCACACTCTATTCTTTATAATACGAGAAGCTCAGCTTTGTAATCATTTGAACATTTAATGACTATCGACTTGGAGATAAATCTAAAAGATTAAAAATAGGTTTAAAATGAATATGCTCCCGATAAGGTGATCAGTTTTGTTCTTTTAAACTTAAAGAAGAAACACAATCGATAGACGTAGAATCTATTGAGCTATCTAACGATTCATTTCTTTATAATCAAAACAACGGGTATCATTCAATCTTGCTTGCAAACATGAATGTATATCTATGATTCTGTTGTATAATTTTAGGTCGCAGAATCACTCGCTACAAAACAAAAACGACGAATATATGATATTACAAATGTACTGGAAGGTATTGGTCTTATTGAAAAACAATCGAAAAATACAATAAGATGGAAGTACGTTGAAAAAACTTGTTCGAAGAATTTGTTTTTCGATTTTTCTGTTTCTTTTTTCAAGAGGTGCTATATCAGGTGATAATACAGTTGAAGCATATGAACGTCTTCATCGAGCTCAAGCACACTTACAAGAACTTGAAGATGAATCGACATTTTGGACTGAAAAAATTCGTTTAATTGAACGTAGTATTGCAAATACATTGGATGATATAACTTTAAAAGAGTAAATTCATTGAAATAATAAATCTCAATCGATTGCTATCAATTGTTTTTTAATCTTAGCTTGCTGTATTTAACACGAGAGGATTTATGTCAAATTTTGGATGACGATGTAATTGTTTTAGCTGAAGGACTAAATGGAACATTGATGAAAATAAATGAAATACAGGTAAGAAAAAATAAATGACTTTGTCCAAAATGAAATTTGTTCGATTATAGAATGGTGAAAAAATATCTCATCAACTCCATCTTCAAAGTCGTCATTATCCAGTTAATTTAAAATTATTAAATCGTAATTCACAAGTAACATCAAATACGACAGATGATCAACGACAAGTTAGTTTTGTAAAATTCATTATTTTATAAACAATTTTGTTTTTGTATCATAGAATTCTTTCGATGAATCAGGGTCGCCTATAGGTATAGTTGCAGATCGTTTTTTTTAATTTCAAATTTCTATAAGTAAAAATTACTTTTAGCATCAACAGAACCATTTATTACACTAGGTGAAATGGCTGAACCTGATGATTATCATAATGTGTTGGATGATACTGAAGGCGTATGTGATTTGTACGATGATGATAATGATGATGTTACAGCCATGACATGTGCATAATTGTCAGTTTTCTTTTTATTGTATACATTCATTAATTTATTTGTACAAAGAGATTTTTGATTGGTTACTTCTGTTTAAAAATTTTCAAAAACTTTGTTTTTTGTTGTTGTTGTTGTTTATATGTACGGAGTTCTTGGCTCATGTGGAAATTCATTGAAATACAAATGTTTACAAAGCAGAACTTTTCATGTATTTGCCAGCAGACGATATTATACTGTTGATATCTTGTACTCGAAAATATAGCGATTTGATTTCAACGAATAAAAATTCATCTCATAGTTTTCGATTTAATGGAGAACAAAAGCTGCTATAAAATTTCTATCTAGTAGCTCAGTTATTTGCTTGTGAAATTTGCACATTACAAATTATTAATGGATTTATGTTTGAGTACTTACGGTTGTAGACTAACTTGTTTTACTCGTGTTTTTGTCTGTACAAGGTAAACATCGAAGTGTGCTTCTATTCGAATGGATGTTACCTTTATTCCAATATCACACTGTTGTAATGAAATTATTTCAATAAACCATGAGGACTCACGAAAAACAGCAAGTTTTACACAACTTTTCAGTTGGCGATACAAATAAATTGAGGAGACTTTCCTCGACACCGAAATCATATGCAGAGCGACAATCAAGACAATTTTTACTTAGATTAACATAATCATGCTCTCACACATATCAAGTAAGGATTTTATATTTACAAAGATTTATTCTTCTTTGATGAAATATATAAATATTCTTTTATAATTCCACTTTGTAGCCGATAAAATAAGATTATAATCAGTTGATAATACTTATCTTAATATTATTATAGTTGTGCTTTTAAAGAGCACTTGAAAATATCACTTAAATAAAGATTATATCATAACTGGATCTCAACTAGCTACAGTTTATAATTTTACAATTAACTTAATCTCAAGGTAATAGTTTTCAAGAACTTTGAGAAAAGCTAGATTTATAAAATAATCCATTTCACTAAGAGGAAGAAAAAAAACTTGGCTTAGTCTACAGAATAATAAGCTTCTCTTAAAGTACCTTCATTAAAAAACATGTACATATTTTATTTATACGACTAGTAGCGACATCTATGAAGTTTCTCTTAACGACGAGCTTTCTATCCATCGAATGGTATTTTGCTCGCATGTATAATATATAATAACAAGGTTTGTAAACATAGTAAACATAAAACTATTTGGTTGGTTGTGGGCTTTATTCATCTTCATCGATGAAAAAAACAATCCAGAGACATTTGCATTTTTGTTTCTTACCTAGTTGTCGTATTTTAAAAAATCATTTTGATAGGATTAATTATTTATTTATTTATTTATTAAATATGCATAATAGGTTTTTTACTTTTCTTTTCTAGTTGTCTCTTCGTTCTCGTTCGTCGTCTTGTCCCCTTGCGATGGTCGTCGTCGTTGTTCGTCAATATTCGTTAACGTCTTTTATTCGTAATATCGTCTCGTCTTGTTCATCAATGTATTTTTTTCAACAAAATCTTACTAAATACTAATGAATACTCCAGGAAACTTAACAACATTATCATCTTCACCTTCGTCAACTACTATTTCAACGATAAATATTGAAAAACATGAACCGGATCCCGACACTATTAAAATGTTTTGTGGTCAAATTCCACGTAACATGCATGAATCAGAACTACGTGAAATGTTTGAACAGTTTGGTCCTGTCTTTCAATTGAATGTTTTACGTGACAAACAAACTGGTGAATCGAAAGGTTGTTGTTTTGTGACATTTTATTCTCGGAAATCAGCATTAGATGCCCAAAATGAGCTACACAATTTACGTACCTTAAATGGTAGTCATCATCCAATTCAAATGAAACCTGCTGATACAGAAAATCGAAATGGTAAACATATAAAATGAAAAAGATCAATGATGAATTAATATTTTTTTCTTATTTTAGAACGAAAATTATTTGTTGGAATGGTATCTAAAAATTTAGATGAACAAAATATTCGTGGTATTTTTCAATCATATGGAATTATTGAAGATTGTACAGTATTACGTGATGCTAATGGCAAAAGTCGAGGTTAGAACAACAAAATAAAAACTTGACTTTTTGAATGAAGATACAATTTTCTTTTTAGGATGTGCTTTTGTGACCTTTCAAAAACGTCAATGTGCTTTGAATGCAATCAAGTCAATGCACCAATCTCAAACTATGGAGGTGAGTGTAATTTTTGTTTGAATTTGTTCTTTTAATTATTGTATTCATTTAGGGTTGTTCTTCTCCGCTTGTCGTTAAATTTGCTGATACACCAAAAGATAAAGAAACAAAAAAAATGCAACAACAATATACAACTCATAATAATGGTCTTATGCAACATATACCTCCTGGCAACTCAATGGTAATTTACAATTGTTTCATGAAATAGATTGATTATTGAATTTTATTTTTAGCCTAATCTTCCGCATATGAATAACTATAACTTTTTACCTGAGATAAGCAATTTAGTATTTCTTCAACAATTATTAAAGAATTATGGTTTTCTTAATACCAATGGCACTTGTAATTAAGTCTTTTGTTTTTCGCTTTCAAATGACTTCTAATCTTTCGTGTTCTTTGTTCTTTAGCTATAAATTTTGCCGCATTAAACAATCTTCTACAAATGTTTACGAGTAATATGAATTTAAACGGTAATAAACCGCCTCTTCTACCACCCCCGCCACCGCCCGCTACATCATCAAATATGACATTAAGTTCTCAACACAGTAGTAATCAATCTCTAAATGTTCAAGAACAACAGCATACGACGAATTCCCCTCGTCCACATCCCCCTAATCAAAACAATGGCTCCTATAATAATGATTCATCGTCACTTATGTGTGGCACAAGTGCATATAACAGTAATGGACTTAATCCTAATAATGGTAATGGTCCACCAACAAATCATCATAATTCAAGTGGTGGTTTAACATCATCTGCTACGACTCCCAACAATGGCCCTTATCCACCTACAATGCCTTCACTCTATGCGAACAATAGTAGTTCACTGTCGAATGGGGGTGGTGCAGGTATTTATATTCCGATATTATATTCGATATAATTTTTAAAATGATTTAGATGCTCATCATAATTTACAAAATCTTGTTGCTTTGTCACAAATTAATAATGGAGGTAGATAAGTTTAATTCTAGAATATAATCAATAATTTCATATTACTAAAAATAAAAGGTCTTCTACCAACTAATATGCATCATAGTCCAACTACGAGTTCGTCGGCTGCACCACCAGGTAAATAAATGCTCGAATCCGCGCCATTTCTATATGAAAAAAAACTAACGTATTGTGTGTTTTTTTCTAGCTTCATTTAATGTCTTTCCATCACCAACATACATAAATACTCAAGTAGCTGGCAAGCATACGGAAGGTTTGTGAGAATTCTGTTCTTTTTTTTTTCTTTAAACAATTGATTTCATTTATTCTAAGGTCCTGATGGTGCTAATTTATTTATCTACCATCTTCCACAAGAATACAGTGACACAGATTTAGCGCAAGCTTTTGCTCCATACGGACCCATTGTATCTGCTAAAGTATTTGTTGATAAAACAACAAATCGCAGTAAATGTTTTGGTAAAAAACGAATATTTCAATTTATACTTCAATTTTTAAAATCATCTTAATTTTGTTAAGGTTTTGTAAGTTACGATAATCCAGCATCAGCTCAAGCTGCTATTAATCAAATGAACGGTTTTCAGATTGGTATGAAACGACTAAAAGTTCAATTGAAAAAACTTCGAAATAATGTTAATAATAATAATAATAATAATAATAACATCAGTAATCCAAATCCAATTCAAGTAGCAGCTAGTAATAGTCCAAATAATCATAGTGGAAATTCACCGACAGCATCTAAAACAAATTCGTATTAAATAAGCCAAATGTTTAAGACAAAAAAATTAATAAATAGAAGGTTTTCGTTTACTCAAGATTTCTTTCTTTTGCTTGATATTCTACTACTAAGACGACCTATTTATAATGCATACGTAATCATATCCCACGCGAGTTCTTTGTCACTTTATTATTTCTTTTCGTGTGTTTTGTCTTGTATTTTGCATCGTTCATTTATTTGTTTTTGTTAAATTATTCCTTGTCGTCACATTGATTAAGAAAACGTATATTATCGTTTGTTTTTCTAGCTGTATAAGTTTCTTGTTCATCTTTTTGTCTACACCTCTTCTTCTGCATGGTTGTATCCTTGTGTTGTGGGTTTTTTCCATTTCCTATTTTTTTGCAATGTTATCTTATAGGTATCTGCTCTTCTTCTTCTTCTTCGCCTACTTATTGTCGTTGTTATCAGTACTAAACACCTACCTAACTTCTTTTCTCATATCCATTTCTATGTCGTAAGTTCTTTTTAAACGAATCTATACGTTTAATTGTCTTTATTCTTCATTTTTTCTCTTTTTCTCAGTGTTCGTTTTTTAAATGTGTGTGTACGTCTGTCTATTGTTTGTTCATCATTGTTGTTACTGTTGTTGTTGATCATGTTGTTTTGCATTAAATCAACACAACTATTATTACAAACAAACAAACAAACAAACAAAATAGAATCTTTTTTTCCATCTGTATATTTACCGTATTTCTCTTTTTTTTACTCATCATCATCATTGACTGTATGATGTAACTTGCTTAAAAAAAGACTAATCAAGCATTCTTGTGTATTAGTTGTATGAGAAATAGAAAGATCAAGGTATTATATTCAATAAAAGTTGATATTTCGTAATTTTTTGCCGGTACTGACTACATGCACACAATAATGTCATGATTGTATACTCGTTTCATTTCAAAAATTACCCAGGATGTACTAGCCTCCCACTCAATTTATTGATTGTTTCAACTTGTATTGCATTATGAGCAGACCTGTACAGATCTTCAGCTACCGAGAGTCTCTCTTACAATGGTGAGCGTAGAAAAAAGCATTTTTATTAGCTTTCTGCAGGAATAAGAACTATTTGAACAGACAATTCTATATATGTGTCCATTGAAAACAAGATAATAAAATATTTCCCATCCGATACGAATCACATAGAAGTTATTCAGTAGATCAGATCGAATTCTGCAATTTATCTAAATGTTCTCGTGGTAATATTAGTTTTAGATATGCATTCCAACTAATTATCTCTGTTATTGGTCAATATTTTCCTACTCATATTAATTTCTGGTGGTGTACCACATTATACTTGTGATGATGTGGGAATGAGTCAGACTGTGTCTACAGATATTGATACTCATACCCAAATAATATATTTTGATTTTCTCAGCAGCCAACATCGTGAGTCGATAGGACCCATAATGAATTTCAATAGCACATTTTTTGATCAGGATAGCTCCTTATTTATAAAAAAAATATTTTCCTAACCCACACTAACACTTTTCGAGTAAAAAATGCTATCCTATCAGCTATCATAGAATATCTTTGCATTTATTAAAGTACTCACATTGAAGAATAGGAACAGATTTTTACATAAGAACTTTCAAAAGATATATAAATACGATAAATTGGAGAAGTATCACAAAACTAGAGGAAGTTCTCGTAATTTACAAAGTGTTTAAATAATGAATTGAAACAATTTCAAAAACAAAAGATCAATGATAACAATTAGCGATTGATTCTTATTTTTAATTGTTTGTCCTATATGCGTATATATGTAACATGTTTAGTATAGTAGGAATTATATAAAAGCTGGAACTATTCTGATCGGTCTAGTCGTCAGATGAAGAAGAATACGTCGCTTTTCTGCACAGAACCGTCTCCAATAGACTTCAGGCATACCAATTAGACAGGCAAATGGATGCAATAGACCAACGAGATAGGACAAATAGAAAAAATATAACTGCTGGATAGTCGTACTAAGATTTGTTGGGCCATTAATCAATTGATAACACTGAAGAGATCCATATGTGAGATAACTTGACATGTATAGAACTGCTACAGAAACAAATTGTATAATCATTTTACGATGCTGTCGCCATTCCATCGATCGTCTCATGCGCTGATGTTTTTGCAAAACAACACGACAGCATAGTCCTAAATTTACAATCACAATGAGTGTCGACAGGATGAGTGTATGAGCAAATTGATCGAAGAGACCCAACACACGATTTTCAATGGCAAAGCATAAACCAGCACAGCATACTTGATGATAGTCGAAATGGTTTTCACATGGATAGATGAAAGCGCCGTATACATACATAAAATGAAATAAGATATCCAAACATGACAGTAAGTGGAACATAGTGCACCAAACAGCGCTCTCGTTTTGTAGTAAGCAATTGTCGCTGATGAAAAATAAGAATATGTCGGTCGATTGATATTCACAGCATCAATATACAAACAAGTGCATAGAGAAGCATGCCGAAAAAGTCCAAACATGGCAACAGGCATTACTATTTACACTAACAATATCTGTGCGAAAGAAATTCAGAACCATCGAGAGATCACCGACGATAGTAATTAAACCAACGAAAAGTAGAATCAATGGGCCATGATTGTAATATGCTTGTCTCGTTAGTCGATTGGACAATATATGATGAATTAAACCAAGATAACAAATGGTCGAAGGAGGTTGAAGTAACATTAGAACACTGAATTTTATACGACGAGTTGTATCTGTCTCCGTGAAATAGAATGAATAATATGTATTATATTCTAATCTAGATAATGAGATATGTGGATATCAAATTATAGATATTGAATCATATTGGTACTTAAGATCATGCCAATCTGTGTGTTAGATCTTTTCAATCAATACCGAAGATCTAATTACAGGTCTTGGCATCAGAAAATCATATTTTTTTTCTTCGTAACTAATGTGTAACACTTAACACAACACTTTTTAATTGCATTTTGCCATTTGTTTTTAAATAAAATTACTTTTGTGGAACTCACATATATTTTCGAAGAAAATGGTGAGTGTAAGTTTAAAAGCGAGATTTTTGCGGCTCTCCCTTCTAACATCTTGATGAGGATCAGAGACGCAACTAATAAAAATGCCAGGTGCCACAGTATTGGTTATGGCAGAGTGGCAGCAATAAAAATTAAATAGTATTGAATGTTGGATGAAGATCCAATTGTTTATTCAATGAATAGAAATAGTTGTGAATAAGAAGAACTCCACAAGCAAGTAGCTGACACGAGTTCAAACGATTGTAAGGGACAATCGACTTTGATTGATTGTAATGAACAATCAAGTTGAAAGAAAAAGGTAATATGTAATTAACCAAAAAGATGATTCTGTTTGATAGAGAAGAAGAACAGTAGTATATCTCAGTGAAGAGAGATATATGAAGACGCTTGCAGAAGCTTGAAGAAGAAAAAAGAGAAGAAGAATAATTATCATATCATTTTCGTGAGTTCAACCGCGAAAAAACGAAAAAGTGCCAATATTGAAAATCGTGTGCACGATTTACCATCCGAGGATTTACTGTCCGTTGATTAGATGAAAAAATTTATTTCAATTAGTGTTGTTCTTGTGTGAGGAGCTACTGCCGTTTAATTGTTTCGAAGATGAGAAATGAACAAGCATTAACACTTTAATCGATTGCTAGAAGATATGGGTGTTTCAGGTCCAAAACTTCGTAAACATTTAGTCGTAACAAATGAATATTTAATAAAATTATGGTAACTTTATGACGAAAGTGGTCATGATATTCTATCATTCTTGAAAGCTGCTGGACTTAGATAGTTTTAAAGGTCATCAACACATTAATCATTTATTCTTCTTCGTTTTTGCTTATTTACACATTGATTGTTTTTTCTTGTTTTTTTATATATATATTTATTGAAATTCGTTTTCTTCCTGATAATGTATTAGTTATCGCAGTCAGTATGCATTCATTTTTTTCTCTTTCGTCGATACAATCAACGGACAGTAAATTCTGATGAGCAAAACTTATACTTTTTCTAGAAATAAACCAATTAAAATTGAAAAGCAACCAATGGAAAGTAAATTCTCGGGTAGTAAATCGTGTAAACCCGTCACACCTCTCTCCATTACAAACATTAATGAGCTTAAAATTGTGCTAATTAGGAGCTTGACTAATTAGGCTGCTATTTCTTCCTTTTTTTACTGATAGACTACACGAAAAATGCAATGCTCCCAGGTCGAACTCGTACGGCGGGAAACGGCAGGAAAACACTTGACCGTGGAAGCAGTATTCCTGTCGGAAATTTTTCGGTGAATTCCAGCGGATTTTCCATGTTTTCCTGCAGGATACGGTGGTTTTCCCCGCAGTATCTGTTTTCCGGAATCATGCATCTGGGGCTTGTCCATTACAGATCATAGCAACTAGCTTAGAGTACTATTACAAACCATAGAAGCTAGTCTCTGCCATTGTTAAATATACGAGCTAACAATTAATATTCCATTACAGACATAAACAAATAGGTAATGGCCTAATTATAGGTTTTAAAAAGCAAGGTAGATTTTTTAGATGAACTATTTTGAATTATTTTAGTAAGCCTAAGGGATATATGTGAGTTCCGCATTCTAGCGCTAAAGGGGCTGCGCTAACAAGCTTTTATATAAGTATACCAATTATCAGTCTGACTAAAGATGAAAATGGCATCACATTCTCGTTAATATCATCGTTTCATTATTTTACCTTTTCCTTATGACGTTCTTATGATTGTCTTTCTTGTGTGTATCACGCACACACTTTTTCTTTCTTAGTTTTTACGAGCATCTGTTGTATGGGTATCAGAGGCATATTGTATATAGGACATAGCTTAATAAACATAATTATCAAGAGTAGCAGTAAATGTAATTCTTCATGTTGTCATGCAAACTCTCTTCTAATCGACCCAGAAGTGGATCATGGCAAAAATCTACTTATGGTTAACGGAAATAATCGCTTGATTTTGTTTTTTGTGGCATTTGCATTCTAGTTTTATCCGGATAGCTAAAAATTCGGACAAATAAAGATCATAACTAGTGTTAAAAATTATACAAAGCTCAATATCCTAGATTAAGACAAATTACGAATAATATCATTGACAATTTGCTTTCAGTTACCATGGCATAGTCGTTATAAGAATTGAAAAATAAAATTGATGCGTGTGAAATGAAATATGTTTCCTTCTTGTTTCTTTCTTTATAATTACAACTGTGCGCCTAAAATAGTGCAAAAACATTGAATGAAAAGAAAAACTTCAACCATTTTATTGTTTAAATTTAATATACACATGAGTCAAATAGTGTATCTTTTTGTGTGGCCTAATGCAAATCTGTGCTATACCGCCATGGGTACTAAAATGCAAAATAAGAATGATTGCTCTTCTTGCATCATTCGTATTACTTATTGCAAGCAGTATCATATTAAATCTTGCTTGTTTTTCGGCTCATCACGTACAATCATGTGTAATAGTTGCGGTGACACATACTATCACTGCACCACGTAGAGGACTCTGCCACTGTTATGGTGATATTCACTTGACTAAAACGCATACTCTTTATGTTTTGTGGTTATGTCGAACGATGGGTTCTCATCTATATGATCGTAGTGATTGATATTCAAGTTTTTATTTTTTCCGGTTCTGTACAGTTTTCTCTTTGAATGCTCACTTTTATTTATTCAAAAACTTGTACTATATCATTTCACAGATAATTTAATGCACTAAACAAGTGACTGGACGGATTATTCATTGTTGTTCCATCCGTCTTGCTATTTTTTGTTTTTCTCAAAGCAGTAAAAAATGAGCTATTTTAGTAGTCCTGAACAAATGCAAATAATTATGGAACAGGAATCCGAAAGAGATTATATACAATAGTAAAACAACATAAATGTACACTAACAACAATTAGTAAGATAGTGATTGCAACTTGAACAATTCTTGTGAGACAAGTTGATAATATTTGAACTTTTTAATTGTATTCATGTACTTTAACACTCTGTTGTATCCCGTGATAATGTTAGTTGGTAATAAATGTATTTGCTTGTTTCTTTCTTTTGCCGATGGGAAATTTATTACTACAGTAATGCTTGAAGAATATGTTTAATGATTTTGACCTTGATTGAGAAAACCTTGGACTTGATATGTCAATCGATTAATCATGAATATCATGGCGTATTCATCGCATGACTACGAACGTTAATATCAAAAGTATGCAATGGAGCTAAAATATTTTGCTAATATCTATTTATATTTACTTTTGAAATTCATGGAAGTATTTACAAACTCATAATTATTATGTATAGGAATAATGCAAGAAAATTGGTTACAAGATGTTTTTGTTTCGCGATAAGAATATCATACGCAATGAATGCGTAAAGTGATATAAAACAAAATTTTACTTGTCGAAAAAAAAGTTCTTTTAGAAATTGAGAAAAAAATCTTAAACTGGTAAATCTGTTTTTTCGTTGCCACACATTTCTTGGTTGCATATAAATTGGCCAAACAACCATTGGGATGGTATAAGAGCGAGAGTAAGATTTGTTAAAGCTTGTGTAATTGATGAAACAACATGTGAAACACTCAGAATTGGTCGTATTTGATGTATGTTTAGAACTTGAGAATCAATATTGTTATTTCCCTCATAATATTCTTTACCATCTTTTTCCGTTATAGTCGCCTCTTCAATATAATATTGAGGTTCATAGATTTGTTTTTTCAAGCGTTTTGATCTAGACAATTTGATGAATACTTTTTAATCTATTCAACAAATATAATACTTACATGAAATAAGCAATCGCAACTAAACTAACAATAGCACCAATGGATACAAAAGCAATGGCAAGGATTAAAACTGTTCCGTTTAAAACTATAATAGCTATTCAAAGAATATGATGCAAAATGATCTTATGAACAACATCGATGTATACCTTCGCTTACAGTAAGTTCATCAGCAGAAACCCAACATGGGATCATCAGAAGAAACATCATACATACATATAAACGCATCGTTTTCTTATTGAATACTACCTAGAAGATGTCTGCGCCGTTGTATATCGTCAATTAGCATATAAGAAATTGTCGTTCAAGGTTTGTATTTATTGACATCTAGTTACCGTTTAGCAAATAACATTAAAATTAATATCATCATAACTGCATCTGCTGATGCTATCGTGTAAATATTAAAAGCGATTGGTTTTGTGAATACATTAAGAAATACTCCTGTTCATCGCATGCTGATTTCATATAGTAATTTATTTATACCAAATTGCCTAGTCTAGAGAAAATAATATCTACAGATCTATGTTAAAGATAGAACTTTCTTCAATGGTCAGCGCAGTCATAGTAATCAATCATAGTATAATGAAGAAAATTTTCAGTATATATATTTTTCAATTAAAAAAATATATACATATATCCGCAACAAGATGTAATCAACAATAAAAAAAAGAGATTCATTAAATTTAAATATTTTATGGAATATCGATCAGGAAAATTGTTTAAATATTACAAAAACAAAGGAAGCTATTTAAAATAAACAATGAATAAAAGAAAATAATGAAAATTTGCTTTTCTTTTTAAGTTTATTTTTGATTAAAATCTATATTATTCAAACATCATAATTCATAACTGAAGCAAAAGATGCAGGAGAACTTCACATTTGATGAGGTCGCTATTCGACGTTAAACTCTAAATTCGTATCGTACAGGTTTTTGTTCATTAAATACGATTGGATAATTTATTCTCACGTGTTATGATGACTTCATTCGGTCGGTCGTTTTTCATGAATATCTTCTACCTGAAATAATCTAACAGTGTATGATTATTTTGCTTCACGTAGATAAAAGAAAACATACATGGTTTACGTTTTGATTATATGTTGATTTGTTCGTTACGTTAGCTATCGATCATCTTATGTTTTTTCTTACGCTAAGCATAAATTGTATTGAATTGCGACTACTCCAACTGAATCGATTGTTTAGTAGACAAATAATTTGTTCTATTTTTTAGCATCAGTATGGCTAAGGAAACAGTCTTATTTGAACGAAATTATATTATTATTAAAGAAAGATCATCACAAAGTGAAACACGTGCTGCGCCACTTGATGAAATAACTGGAACATTAACAATTTCAGAGCATGAACGTGGAAAATTTTTTCGCTTCATACCATTAGGTCTTGAAGATGTAATGACCGATGATTGGGCACTGATTAATGGGGGTCATTCAGTTGTTTATGATAAGCAAGATGGAGGTTGATTATTTTTATATTTTGTTTGAAAATGAAGAGATTCATTTGAAATATTTTGCTTAGATTCTGTTGCCGTTCCATCTAGTCCACTATTGAAATATCGACTTCATTTTAATTTAAATGATTTACGAAGTGTCCGGCGACATCATATGACTCATGGCATTGCACATATGGTATTTATTCTCAAAGATGGTACTACATTACCAGCATTTTATTTTAATCATGGTGGAAGTAAAGAACTTTTACAAAAACTTGCTCAAAGCCTACCACTTGAAAAGTAAAATCGGAGAAGTCATTTTTTTATTAGCTATTTTGAGTAAAGTTTTGTTTTCCTGTGTAAAGATCAACACAAGATACACGCTTATATGTTGTCAAAGACGATTTTCCACGAGCAAATGCATCGCAAGCTATAAGTGCCTTTGATCAACTTAATTTATTTGACAATTCAAATGATTCAGTAAAAGGATCTGTATGTTAATGTATAAGAAGTCGATTTTTTCTATAAAAATTTTCTTGTTTGTTTCAGCAAGGAAATGAGTCTCGTCGAACAGCCATTAAAAATTTTTCACGTGTAACACATTTTCTTAAAGATACTTTACTCGGTCAAAATGATATGATACCAACGACAGAAAATTCCGATCGAAAACTTACACCTGATATAAGTGCTCTGATCGAATCATTCAATAGTGATTTTAGAGAATCCAATAATGATGGTTTTGAAGTTATTTATAAGGTTAAAAAAGAAATACTCTTTCGAAATATTTTCTTAATTATACTTTTGTTTTAATATTTAGGTAGATTTTAAAAAATTACCTGATATTACACGTGGCCAACCGTTCACATTGAAAGACTGGCAAATGTCCTTTGATAAAGACGGGCGCATAAATGATGTGAACAAAGTGAAAGAGAGAATATTTCGTGGTGGATTAGAATCAATTTCATTAAGACGTGACGTATGGAGATTTTTATTAAATTATTATCCATGGGCATCAACATATGAGGAACGTATAGAAATAGCTAAACAACGAAAGGCAGAATATTTTACAATGAAAGTTCAATGGAAATCAATAAATGAACAACAAAAACAAAGAAATTCTTTATTTCGTGATCGAGGATCTCTTATTGGTATGTCAAATATATTTTTTTTCTTTTGTGAAATATTAGAATGTATTTGTTTTGTGACTTAAGTACAGAAACATTGGTAGTATTACGAATAAGGTCAGGCCATTTAATCCTTTCATTACATTGATGTAGAGAAAGTTGAATAGTTTCATTGTTTCGATAAGAAAAAATTATCTGCAATAGCTTAATGAAAGATTTTCTAAAATGAATTAACGAACAAAAGCAATATACTAGTGAATCGATGAATATAATATTTTCAATACATTGTTAGTGAGCCTCGACCAAAACAGTGAAATGACAACATTCGTCTACCTATTTTTAAAGCAGCTACAGCAGTTACTGAATGGAACTGCTGTATAACTATTATCAATAATTTTGATTTGATGATGAAAGGATTTTTGGGTTCAAATTGTTCATTTAACTATTTCGGTTTGTTTTAGACAAAGACGTAGCGCGTACCGATCGAACACATGACTATTTCGCAGGAGAGAATAATGTTCATTTGGATATACTTCATGATATATTAATGACTTACAATATGTACAATTTTGATTTGGGTAATAAAATGAAATTATTCTATTTTTTTACAAATATTTCATATTCGATCGATTTAGGTTATGTACAAGGTATGAATGATTTATTAAGCCCAATATTAGTGACAATGGAAGATGAAGTTGATTCATTTTGGTGTTTTGTTGGATTGATGTCGCGCATGGAACATAATTTTCATTTGGATCAATCACATATTAAAAATCAACTCGGCAATCTCCATACACTTCTTCAATTTATTGATGCTGAACTTGCAAAATATTTGGGTAAATAAAAAAAAACCATAAAAGCCATTGATGAAAGTATTTATTTTAATTCAATAGTTGAAAATAATGCCAGCAATATGTATTTTTTCTTTCGATGGATGTTAATTTGTTTTAAACGTGAATTTTCATTTGATGATGTTATGTATTTATGGGAGGTAAGGATGTTTAATTAGCCGAATCGATTATTTATTTATATTTAAATCATAGGTCATATGGACAGATCATATATGTCATAATTTTGAATTACTTATCTGTCTCTCGATATTAATTTCACAGAAAACAGTGATTATGGAATCGAAATTTGGTTTCACGGAAATTCTTAAAGTAAGTCCTTCTTTTTTTTTCTTTGAAAAAGTTAAATGATTTCATTCTTTTTTCTCAATTACTCTATTCATAAAATCCTTTTTTTTCTTGTATTACTTCTGTGTTCTTTTGCGCATACTAATTTGCGTCTATGTATATATTAGTATATCAATGATCTCTCCTTCAAAGTTCCATTGCAGCCGTTATTAAAACAAGCCGAGGGTCTTTTTATACTTTTAAAACTATGCAATCAAACCAAAGGTCTGCCACTATCAATATCGGCTGTGATATTTCCGGATACAAATAAAGATTCAAAAGATACGATTCAGGATGACACACAAAAGTCGAGCTTTTAAAACAATGTTCAAAATATTATTCAATAACAATAAATGTATTGCTCAATTAAAAACTTTTATTCAATATTGTAATTAATCTCAATACTTTAATAATGGAAGTTATCTATATCGTTTGTTATGTTAGGCATATAAAAACGGTAACACAATATCTCAAATTTATTATCAATTGTCGCTCAATGCTTTTCTTTCTCTGTTTTATTTATTTTTTTAATTTTTATTGATGTTAATTTTCGATGCTATTTGAGTCCAAAGAAAAGAAGAAGAAATTTAGTTTTGCAACGATTCTATCTACTTCTTTGCGCGTTTGAAGATCTGTTTGTTCTAGATACGCTATTTCGCTTCTATGGTAATAGAGAAATTCTCATACTGTATATACTGATAATGAGTGAAACAAACACGAACTATTCGCGAGTTTACTCGACGAATAATGATCAAGATAAACATTTCTAAAATAAAAACAAAGCTAATTTTCAGATATTTTCTTGTACGAATCATCGAAAATCAACAGGCTCACTCAGAGGTACAAAATTCGATGTCATTAACATTATAAAATTGATTCCTAAAAAAACAAACAAAGCATAGACTATTACTAGAAGAACACCAATGAATTTATCGCTCGCTCGTATTAACACACCGCAAATTTTCATAGTCATAGTCAACACTAAAACTCATCATAATAAACAATGTAGAAATAATTCATATCTACTGTCTATGACATAGATCTGCGTGTCAATCCAATATTATATAAATATGTATATGCAGATTTTTTTATAATTTTTGTTTTTGTTCTGTAGATTGTCTGTAATTCAATCGGATGCTCAATTTTACAATGATGCATTTTTGTTTTGTTTAGTTTTTCAACGATCTATCCTGTAATCTCGACTTGGATACATGTCTTCTATCGGCTGAAAAACTCTACATTCAAATATCTACACATCGTGATATTCCCACATCGATTGCGAAGATTCTTGGTCTTCCAACTGGTCCCAATCAACGTCTATTATCAACTATAGAAAATGCCACGTATCCACGTAAAATTTACACTGAACAGCCACGTGGTACAATGAATTTAGATAGTTCATATTTTCGTCAAGAATCTTGTCCATCACTGAGTCCTGTTCAACATGAAACCAGAGAAGCATTACTCAATGATTTTTTTACAATGACACCATTCGTGCAGTTTTAAAACAAAAACAAAAACAAAAATAAAACTAACCATTTTCTTGCGTTATTCTAGTGTACAAACAATTCTGATTATTTTTCGTCGTCTCACTAGTTCTATAGAGATTTTTTTGTTCTGCTCACAATCGTTCTGTCTCCTATGGCAAATGAAAGTATATGTAACATATTTATATATATTATGTTTATTTTAGATAAAATATTTTTTCATTGATTAATAATTTTTATTTTGCAATTTTGTTATTCAACTCCAATGAACCGAGGTGTTACTTTTAAAGTTGTTTTACTTGGTGAGGGTAGTGTTGGCAAAGTAAACTAAAATAAATTTAAAATATCAATTAGACATTGTTTTCTTTATGTTTCTTTCTTTTCTTTTTTTGATTAGACATCAATAGTCCTACGATACACAGAAAATTCATTTAACGATAAGCACATTGAAACGGAACAAGTGAATTCATATTTTGAATATTAATTATTGTACTTGTCATATTTGTTTAGGCATCTTTTAGAACGAAAAAATTAATTTTGGATGGTCGCCGTGTTGAATTATCAATTTGGGTAAGTAAATATTTCTTTCGTAGAATTTTTCTTGGTTTTTGATAGAAAAATATTTTGCTTTGCTATTTAGGACACTGCAGGACAAGAACGATATCGAGCACTTGGGTATTATTCTAACTATTTCTAAATGCTCATATACCTATAGCATTGTTCTCCATGTAGGCCTCTATATTTTCGTGAAGCAAATGGTGCCATATTGGTTTTTGATATTACGGACCAGGATTCTTTTAATCAAGTATGATAGTTTAAATATTAAAAAAACGAAAATAAATATATTCTCTGCGTTTTAAGGTGAAAGATTGGGTCAAACAATTGAAACGAGTATTAGGCGATGACGTCGTACTATGTATTGTTGCAAATAAAGCGGATCTTGAAAAAGACCGTCACGTATCGATGCAAACAGCAGAAGAATATGCGAGTGCGGTCAATGCTAAATTGTATAATACATCTGCGAAATTAAACAAAGGAATAGAGGAGCTGTTTAATAATTTAACTCAAAGTCAGTTATTCTATCAAAAGAGATTCGTTTTATGCAAGTTTCAATTTCGTTTTGGATTTTTTCTAGGGATGCTTGAAAAAACTCCACCAACTCCGAATATTTCGGACACAAACGGAGTAAATGGACGAACTGGTATTTCTATTCAGCAAAACCCGACAAATCCAACGGCAAATAATGGGTGTTGTTAATGATTTTATTATTCCAATTTATGTGAAAAAAAGTCCTACCAAAGGAAAATTTTTAAAAATTTTTAATGCTATTCTTTTATTACTAATCTATATTTATGTTTGAAGTATATTTTGCGTTTCTGTCTGTGCGATTCAATTGATGTATGCTAACAGTCAGTTATACTATTCAAATACGTTTAAATTGTTAATCTAATCAATTGAAAAAAAAATATACAAACTCTTTTTGTTTTCTTTTTGTTGTACCAGTCACTTTTAATGAACAAAATAAAAGTTGCTTGAGCCATGGTGATAAACAGTTGCTTTAGTGTCTTTTTAAGTGCACAGGAAAGTAAATTATATACAACTGAAAAATATCTGCAGAAGATCGTAAAGTTACACATTTATTTAATTCGTTTTGAACTGCATGATTCTCTTTTTTTATCAGAATAACTGATATCACTCTTAATGTTTTCATTGTCTACGTATTGTTATGCACGGCTTGCACGACTGATTAGCCCATTTGTGTATTTTATTGTTCTGAGAAATATTCAACGGTTTTAGAATACGTATTTTTATGCTTTTTTTTGTATTTGACTCAGTTTTTGAATTGTCTGAAAATAACTTTGGAGGGTGTGATTTTCGGTTTTCTTTTCATCAACAACAATTATGTTCACTACACGTCTGCATTGTCGTTTTATTTGATTTATCTATGGCGTAAATAGTGCATTGTGTAAACGATGAGATAACAAACTTTCTCCTGTAAGCAATATCCAAGAAACAAGCGAAGTATCAATATCGTTTGCATATGGCATTATGTAACGAATCGTCCACTCACTAAGAAAAATATGCGTAGACTGATTAACGAGAAATATTTTCAGGAAACAGAACTTAATTCTGTATCCAATAACCTATTCATTTCTGACTTTTATTCCTAGAGAAAAATTTTACATTCTCATATATTCTTAAGCTGACTGCACTTTAAAACTCAATTGACGTGTAAAAAAACGAATATACACAAATGCGATAAGTAGACTGATATTGATCGACAAAAAAGACAACTATAACGGCTTTACGAAGAAGTGTAAGTGTTATGTTTGATTTTATTTTTTATTTAAACAAATGAAGTTTAGAAAGAAAAGTCATTTGATGGTCTGCGGTGATAAAACGTCGCTTGAAGGACATGAATTTAACTGAAAGCGGTTGCAATTATATCGCAAATAGAGAATGATAAACATCGTCGAATAGCTAGCTTCTGAACGAATCTTGAAAGCATAGACATGAATGAAATGAATACGTTTATCGTGAAGCGTAGATATCTATGTTCCACTTCTAATTTATTTTCGTCACGACAATATTCATAATCCACACCTCATAGAGATTCACATGTACAAACTCACATTCTTAACCATATATCTTTCCGATCTCACTCCATGGACAATGTAAATATTTTGCTTCTAGCATCCATGTGCACTAAAGTTTTGTCACTTTCATACTTTTTCTTGCTAGTCCTATCTAAATTTTTCTTTCTGCTCCATATAAATAAAAGAAATGTATTACGATAATGAAACATCATTTCGAAAACAAATTCATATAAAACAAAAATTGACTAATATGGTAATAACTATCTTTACGTATGTACATAATTCGAAACAAGCTTAGAAATAATGATATAATACTTGTCGTCAAATAATATCTTTTACAAGTAACGACCAAAACAACTACTGAATTCTGTCATACTTTATTTAATACAAATATCTATAAAAATATATCTCAAGAATTGGATGCAATAAATCTTTAGCTGGATTTGCTTTAGATTTGTTTGATTACACAAAGTACTATTGTTGTTATTTTCTATCATGAAAACAAAAGATAATGAGTAGACGATGAAAAGAAGAAATAATCTGCATAGTACATACAATGAATGACATATTTTATAACTTCCCTATTGTTCTAAAATGTTACTGGTTTAGTATACAGTTCGATAAAAACAAAGAACAAAAGAACGTTTCTATAGTTAAGATAAAACAATGCAGTTGCATCTTGATTACACCTGTATTTTCAATCGTTTTCTGCATCCTACTGTAGTTTATTTGAGTGATGCTTATAGGAAAATGAATTAAAGCAAACTAGAAAAAAAAATAATAGAGAGAAAATATACGTTGACAATATTATTCTCTTAATTCATTGAAATATCGCTCTCAACAAAGGAACATGTTATTCGACGGAATGATTCATTAGATTAAACAGCTTTTAAAATAAAAAAAAGCTCGAAGGCTTTTGCTTTTATTCATAATGATTCTTTAGTACGCATGAGATGCTTCTGAAAGTTTAATAAAAATGAAAAACTCAATCATACTGCCATCAGCAAAATATATAAAAGCCTATCGATAAAAAGGTAAACATTTGATTCTAGTAAAAATAATGAAAATATATTTAAAAGATGATCGACAGGTGAACATTTTTCACAAAAATAATCGTATCTCTTGCAAAAAAGAATAAGACAATCGTTAATCTCTTATTTTGATTGATTGTAGTCATATGTATAATAAGATTGTTATCTGACTTTTATAATGTTTTGACCAACGATTGCGAAGATACTGCATCTTATCAGACAGTAGGGACAGAAAACATATTGCAAAGAATATTCTTTTGAATGCTAGTAGCCAATTAGAACATGGAACAAGATTACCATTTAGGTAAGTAAATTTTTCAATTAATATTTTTGATTGGCAATGATAACTGTACAAAAAATATACAAAATTGCTAGTTTTTATATGAAGTATAATTTCATATACTTGATTTTTCTAGTTGTATTTTGATGATGTAAGAATTGCTGTTAGCGTTTTTTTGTTAGCAACAAATTGTATTAGATCTATTGATTATGACACAGATATCTCAATATCCTCTGATGTCTTATTCTAGATATGTGTATGACCTTTTTATCAATTTATATGAGCTCAATCATGTGAATAAAAGCGTTTATATGAAGGAGGTGACGATAGCTAAACAGAATGTCTACGGTCGTTGATGTTAAATGGGTCAATAGATAAATATATACATATAAGAGAAGCTATGAATTGGATTTCTTTCTTGTTAATGTTGAAACGTCAAATAGTTCACCTATTTCTGTCATCGTCTTTTTTTTCTTTTTTCCTCCTTTCCCGTCTCCTTCATACGATGATGTCTTTGTACGAGCGTCAACTTAACATCATTCGCAAGGAAAGAAAAGAAGAAAAAAGAAAAAGAAAAAATGCGGAATGAATAAATGCATGAAAAGAGGTAACTAGTCATTATTTACTGTAATTGAAAGGCAGGACGAGACGTGATGTATGTGTATGTACGTTGCCACATTTTTTTTCTTGCGTCAGGTCAGCCACACCGTATTTTTCCCTCAAATGTCTGATCGAAAGTAAGATTTGTAGTACTAACAGAAACAGTGATATTCGGCGACGTTTCTTCTTCTTCTATGATCCATGTATGCAAAGAGATCGAAAAAATGTGTTGCATCACTACGATTTGATATACATATATTCATAGTAACAATACAGAGTATTATACTATTTACTCAAGTAACATAGATAAGAAGAAAAAGAAAAACAGGAACCAAAACAAGGACTTTGCTTTGTGACAAGTCGTAAAATGATTTTTTTACACTTTTTTTCTTCTTCTTTTAGTATATTATATTTTGCTGTTAATCATATGAATAAAAAATGTTTCCTCAATATAATCAACGTAAGTAGAAAATAATCTACTTATGTAATATATAATGATTGTGAGATTTGCAGGAAATATAGCGGGTGAAATTGCCATCTGGCTTCTAATTACTGTTGGCGCTCTTCTCATTCCCATTATTGTAGTCGCCATTTGTTGTATACGACATCAGTAAGTGTTCATACAATATATTATTGATAATTTTGTTTTCATCTTAACCCAGTGTTTTTATCGGTCATCTTATGACCGGAATCCATAAAAATTCTATAAACATAGAAGTTGATTAAAACAATAGTAAATGTATCAAATATTATGTTTTGCAGATATCGAAACTATGTTCCCCGTGCAGTTCTCGTAAGTTTCTTCTTTTTTTCATTTGGTTTTGGACGCTTCCAAAATAAGACAATCTCTCAGAGAAAAAATAATTTTTATTTTCTTTCTTATCTGCTGCATAAAATCTAAATAAACACAATTGCTTATCGTTTCTATATCTCACTCCTATTTCATCGATAACCTCAGCGCGATTGCTTCTTCTTTATTTTTTTTACACGTGTATTGATACACAAAAACAATTCATTCATTCACAGCTGCTGGAAAACAATTCCTGCTCGACATCCACCACCTTCTCTTAAAAAAAGTACTAATCATAATGAACTACTAACGTCCAATTCGACTCCATGTACACAACGAGTGTGGGATTTGTATGTACGTTTATAGAACGTAAAAAAGATTACAGAATCGTACATGTTTAAATTTTCTATTTGTCGATCAATATTTATTTGTATTTGGTGTAGGTGTTTAGTTGTGCTTAAAGTGTGTTCACATTCTTTTTTTGAATTTCTGTATGCACATTGATTTATTTATTTTTGCTTAATTCTACTTTTGAAATCAATTTTTAACTTTTTTTTCTTGAATTTTATTAATCTTTCAGCTTGGCAAGAAATCCACGCGTACAACTAATGGACAAGCGGTTTCTACGTACGACGACAATGAATATCAACCAACGGACGGACCTTCGGTATGTATATCTAAATAATTAACTTCTTGTTAAACGATGTTTGATTTTTTTCTTTTTGATGCATTATTCAGTTCGTATAATGGTCCGTATGTGGAGTCGGGTAATGATGATCGACTTGTACTATCTCATAGCAAAACTCCTCCAACATTCATACCCACTAATTCAATTAAGAAACAACATGTTCACTGGCCAAATGGTTCAAAATCACCGAGTGGCGATGATCTACGTTCAATAAAAGATCGACAATTTACGCCAAGAAAACAACCATTTTCGGGAGGAGATACTTTTAATACTATGATGCTTAATGAATCTCCGTCAAGTCATCGTCGTCTCGCTGTTATTCCCACTCCATCTTCGGCTCTTTCTCATCTTATTCAAACTGCTATTATGCCAGCTGGCTCCACTATTACTAAATCAAGCGCAAGTCTATTATTGACACCATCTAAACAACTGACACCTAATCTAGCTGGTTATCATAGCATCGTGTAAATTATTTGTACAAAGTATCTCAGTTAATGCTTTCGTGTTCTTTTTTAAGTATTTTTTTGTTTTGTTTTGATATTTCAATACGAGTTTCCTTTTTTTTTTACGTATAATCATTTTGCTGTGCTTTTTTTCTATACGATACAATGTTACAATAGAATAGCTACACCTCCGAGAAAGAAATTGCATAAGGAAAACTTTCTATTATGAAAAAAACAAATGATTGTTCTTGTTGTAATACACTCTCATTGTTACTTTAGGAGATTTTATTGACTATTTCTTTAGTGCGACATTGGTTAACAAATTGTTGGTATGTTCAAGGTTAATCCTTAAAACAAAATTTTCTTTCAAATCATGCATTTATGCATATAGCACCAATCGTGTTTCTTTTGAAACTTAAAACCGATACTAATGCGAAAGAATACCGGTTTCTTTTTAATATTGCTTCAAAAGATAAACAGTACGACTTCGTTTGTTATAATTTCATTAATCTTCTTATAATCAAATGTTTATTGTAGCCGTTCGTATTATTTAAAAATCATGGATATTCAAGACAAAGCTTTACGTATAGAGCATTGTCTAGAAAAATAAAGTCACTTTTGAGATACTTTTGAAAAAATTCAATGATTTAAATACTCAATTTATTTAATAAGCTATGACTTTTTTTGAAGGATCTCGGTTTATGGTTTTCTTGAAAGGCAACTTCTGAAAAAAAAACAGGCTAAATATAGGTGGTTCTTTTTTTTATAATATCGTGAACTCGTTTGTTATTCTTTTTCTGCTGTTGCAAAAGTGAACGATGACCTCTGGATGTTTTTTCCTTGTCATTACTGTTGAAAAATGTTTTTTTTGTTGCCAAGCCTTTCTAAAATCAAATGATTTCCACAGCCTATGAATAACAGTATATATATATATATTGATAATTGTGTACAAAGACGTAAGATCAATGAGAAAAGCAATGTGCAGGATGAACTATGAACATTGATTAATTATGTTCATTATCCCAAAACATTATAGCTTAAGAAAAACAACTTATATAATTCATGAATGTTTTCCTTGTAGTTTAGATTATGCTGTGTGAGAATCTGTCAATGATTATTTAGTTCTCACAATCAATCAAGGAATAGACAATTTAAAGCTGATAAAAAAATGTGTTTTTTTTCTATTCAAGAAAGTCTATTTGAATAACATCTTCATAAAACTTCTATTAGTCATTCAGATATTTTTGGTTAGATTTATCGATAAGAATTGTTGATATACAATATAAGACGATAATATTTAAATATTTCTTTTGTTCATTCCTAATGGGAAAAACTATCGCATAAAATTCGGTTTAATATTATCATGAAATTACACAGCAGCCATCTTTCTTTGGTGTTGTTGCTTTTTCATTATTTGATGGACGAATTGGTTTGTCAAATATGATCGTTCCAGATTCAACAGGAATAGTAGGCGCTTTGGAATGATCTACAGGTACCGTTTGCGATGATAACGGTGCGGTTGTTGATGATGATTCCATTTGTTTAGGCATCTTCTTTTGATAAATACTGTTAACAAGTAAAGTAAATGCTTGTTCAACATTCGTTGCATTCAATGCCGATGTTTCCATATATGATAGATTAAGTTGTTCGGCAAGAGCTGTTGCCTGTTGACATGATACTTTACGTTGATCAGTTAAATCAGATTTATTTCCAACAAGAACTATTGGAAGATCCGGCGGTGTATGGCGATGAACTTCTTCAATCCAAGTTGCAATATGATCAAATGAATCAGGTTTCGTCAAATCGAATACTGCTAAAGCACCTTCACTACCGCGATAAAATTGTGGTATAACTGTTTTAAAACGCTCTTGACCAGCTGTATCCTATGATAGATAACATGACAAAATTCAAAAAGATTTCGATTAATTAATATATTACATACCCAAACTTGAGTTTTAATTTTTTTTCCATTAATGACAAGTTGTTTATAAGCGAATTCTACTCCAATGGTTGATTGAGTATCAAGACGAAATTCATTTCGTGTAAATCGTAATAAAAGATTACTCTTAACAAAACCAAAATATGATAATTTTATTATTTACATCGAATTTCAAATCGATGGTATCATACCTTTCCAACAGCGCTATCACCTATCAAAACTAGCTTGAAGATAAAATCATAATCCGATGCTCCACCTGCAGGTCGTGCCATGTTCGTTGTATAAAAGAAAAAGTTGTATGTGTGTTCGATCTGAATATGTCACAAATAAAAAAAAGAATATGCTTACATACAAACACATACACACAATTTTCACCTTTTCTCATTCTAAATTATCTTATCAGGCAACATATTTACTGTAGAAAAGAGCAGCACAAGAGAAATAAAAACAAAGAGAAAATAAAAAGTTGTTTCAACATTTTGCACTTTACTCTTATTTAAGATAGAGAAAGCTGATGCATTACACAATTCAGACATATATTACACGACCTAACTTACTCAGATGGGTACTCAAGAAAACAAAGGTTATTTTGTCAAACAGATATTGGAATAAATATGAGTGATGCTATACTACAGGATTTCAATGCTTATACAAAATAAAATAAGAGTAGTTGATTATTATTACGCAGAAAGGCAAAAAGAACTTATAGCTTATCATTAAAAAGATATAAATGAAAGAATACTCCATTGGGTCTAAGGGCCCTAAATGAGACGTCGAAAAGAAACCCACACCCACACCCACTCCCTTTTCTCACGTGAGTCTGCGAAGACCTGTACCCGTTGATTGGTTTGTGGTGTGTGGGTTGAAACAGTTCTATCACCATCACCAACGGCTACATTCATATTCACACCCGTACCCACATCATAACAAAACACATCTTATCAAAAATGTATTATTGTGATATTAGTTGAACAATAATCAAATAGCATAGAAAAATAGATTTTTTTTTCTTCTATCAGATCATATAGAAACAACGTTTTTTCAAGTTTACTATATAGTATTAAATTGTCACTCACTACTTTTGGTATATCCTAAGTATTTTAAATTCAAGAACGAAATGAAATGCTCATTTTGTGAAATTTATTAGATTTGTAATAATATTCTTAATAAAAACAAATAAGTTTTTATTGAAATTGACCCAATTATTCAACGTCCTCATGTCCCGACATCCCGAACATAGAAAAAAATATTCAATTGTAATAAAAGTCAAAATAATCGCAGTCGAATTAAAGTCAAACATCTATAATAATCAAAACACATTGCCAATGATTCAGGGCAAAAATAAAGAAAACAATCTTTAATTTTTACAAGAAAATAATAATTACAATCATTCGTTACTGTATATTGATTACGAAAACGTATTTAGAAATTTACAATGGGGGAAAAGCGCGACTTCCAAACTTCGAAGTACGATGGAAGTACATGGAGGCACAGCGAAATATAAATGAAGTATCTGGGACTACAAGGGAAGTACGTGAAGTACGGAAGTTGCGTTTTTCCCCCTTGGGAATTTACCATTAAATAATGAAGAATACGGCAAAAAGCTTTAAAGAAGCAAAAAAAACTTTCTGAATCATATACTAAAAAGCATACTTTCAACATAAAATATAAACAACTAGAAGCGATTCTAATCTCAACTAGATTCTAAACTCAACTGAGGAATGTCATAATATCCGTACATCCGGTAACGACTTTTTAGCACAAACACATTAGAGTATACACATTTATATATATATATATATATATATATGTGGTTACATCAGATTGTAGATGCACTAAAAATGGATACTCCATAAATTATTGCTGCATAGGGTATTGTGACGTAAAACTCTCGATACCCAATGTAAAGGTATTATGATATTTATGTTGTAATATGTACTTAGCCAGTACGCATGGAAAGCTTAAGTGATTAAGCGGATCGAACTCTGAGTTATGCTGACCTTCCGCCCAAATCTAAAGCGAGTAATAGTTGTTGGAAAGAATTTGACTTTCGAAACTGCCTTTGGGCAGTATTGTGCACTCTAAAATAAAAACAAGTACGATACCCAACTTAAAAGGATTCAGTCAAGAGTACAAGACCTAAAAGAGTTGTTCCGGTGGCCCCCGGGAAGAAGGTTTTTGACGGTTTTGCAAAAACCATAAAAAGGTTTCTCACGAAGGTACAAATTCTAAGGATTCAGCTGTGGATGTTACTATGTCTCGTTACGACAACGACTGTCAACCCCGCATACAGCAACAGCTACAGTCACACCAACACCGGATCTCATGGCTTACGAGCGCGACTAAGTAACATATACACGTTGAGTGTCGACAGAACGCAGCAAAAGATGCCTTAGCCAGTTGAATTAAATAAGACATCCATTCTTCATTTTAGTTGTAAAAGAGAGCCCTTCACACCTACCATAGCTCCTTGTAGAAAGAAAAGTTGCCGATTCTTCATGACTCACAATTTCTTACTGTGTAGCTGCACTTTGTCTAGCACTAATGGAATTCTTTGAGATGCTACTAAAATGCATGCTTTTCTGAACCTAAAAGAATCCGATGGCATTGTAATTAATGATTTTTGAAAATAGATAAATAGAACCCGATTGACTCTACGACTGCTAAATTAGAAAATTCACTACTGCATTGCGTTTTCAAGGAATCACAAAACAAACTCAAATTTTGACTGTAACCAAAATGTATCGATTGCTTTCATTTCGGCTAACTTGTTATTCGAAATAAAGATTGCGAAAACACCAATCTACGTAATGTATGAAATAAGGGAGATCGCGTAGGTCGAAAACTTTCTCATTTCCTCTTTATCAAAGACGATAGAAATTTGCAATTGTAAGAGTTTTGGCGCACGGTGCATCGAAGAATATTGATATCTTACTTGGCTATAGAATATGAGTGGTCATTTAGTCTTATTGTACTAAGCAAAGGTAAATGAATCCTTTATCTTTTACCTTTCATATAACGGAAACTAAAGATAAATGGTCACCCCTATGTTAGAGCAGCTTCTAACTTGCCAATCAAACTCAAGTCACTGGTTTCAACAATCAGTGGTTTTCTAGATATTCTAACTTGGAAAAATCGAAGAATCGTTCTGGGCTCAATCAGCTGAAAACTGCTTGATGATCTGATCATCTACCAGAAAATTGTTAGATAATATGGTTGATATGGTAAAAGTTGTCTGAAAACTTATCGCTTTAGTCTCTTGAGGAATGAAAATTGTGGAATTCAGTAACTCTATTTGTTGTATACTTGAGAGAAAATGTGAAAGCCCTTCAAATAACTTAACAAATAAATCATCCAAAACGATTACAACTTTTTATAGCTGATAAGCATGCTCGTATATTTAATCAGGTGAAAAGTGTGTCCATGTATTACTATTATTCGAGCAATTTATTAGATTCATTTAATATTGTTAGGCTGAAAATGGTTTTTCTATTGTGAAATGCATTACATCTTCAATGCATCCATTCTTTTCTTCCAATCGCCTATTTGACTACCATATTACCTTGCTATATACATTGATTTGATCATTTAGGAAGAGTCTGACACACTGTTACTTGTTTTGACAAATTATAAGATGTGAGTTGAGTTTTTTCTAAACTTGGAATTCAACTATTTCATAATTTTACATGGTGCTCATCCTATTCTTACTCTATTAAATGAATAATAGCTTCGATCTACTGAATGACATCTACAATAACACCATTTCGTTGCATTAATTACCAAAACTTGCCATATTTAGACTACGTAGTTAAGATGTACAGAATTTAAGAATAATATAACCATTGTGATTGCTTACGCGTCTTTTCCCTGTGCTATATAAATCTGCCCAATAATCTTCAACTTTGTTCTCTTCGTCTCATTAGCCATGGCTAGAACGAAGAGGACGTTGCGAGAACCTCGATTTAAACCGACAAAAGTGTATATTCTCTTCGAAAGTATACAGGAGTTTAATCAAATCTGCTTCTTTGCTGTAAAATGGTGAAATAAATTCTGCTGCTTAATGAAAACTGCCAAAAAACTACTTAACTACTTCTAACCCATGAAATGTATTCGATCAAGCATGATAAGAAGAATAGACATGCATTTCTTAGGTGTTTCATTCCATGTGATTCTGAGTGATTTCGATGATTCTATCACCATAGAATCAGTCCCTCCCCCTTGGAAATATTTGTTCTTTTAATTCCATGACAACAAAGATACAATTCTTCTCATATAAGGTGATTCAATGTAACCTTTCAATCTCTATTCAAATCTGCCGTTAAACTGTGGAAAAAGCACTGACAACTATAAAAAAAATCTCAGGAATACTCTGCTCGAGACAAGATATTATGGCTTTGGGATAAATTTCTAGCAGATTTTGATCAGAGAAGTATCAGCTGGGTGAAAACCAATATGACACTCTGAATCAGCCTTAAAAATTGAGTAGATCTAGATGAATATCGAATATTTTTCTGAACTTCGTCTTTCGACTAAAAATTCACTTGTGGTACCCCTCAGTGATCAGTCAAAAAATGAACTTAAGCAAAATATTGTTCTTATGGTTTAGTTATGTGCCAATTAGAATTTTACTATCATTTTATAGCCTTAGAAGCTGATTCACACTATTTAAATAACTTCTTAATGAAGCTCATTTTTTACTGATTCATGAGGAGTACCAGGGATGAATTATTCGACAAAAACAAAACGTTCGCAAAATGATTTGAGATTTATGCAGATTTACTCAGCTTTTAAGACTGATTCAGAATATCATATTGGTTTTTATCCAACTGATACTTTTATGATCAAAATCTACTAGAAACCCCCTAAAAATAAAATCTTATCTTGAGTAGAGTATTCTTGAAATTTCTTTTGGTAACCAGTGTTTTTTTTCATAGTTTAACAACAGATTGGGATCAAACTTGAAAATTTACATTGAAATTCCATAATTACATTGATGTTGAAAACTGTTCACTGTACTATAAGAGCACTTTAATAGGGTCCACTCCAGAAACTGTTTTTTCAAACATTTTACAGATTAAATCATGCGATATAGGATGGCCAAAAGCCAGATTTGGACCCTAAAATCAAAGTATAAGTTAAACTCGAAATTCAAGCCAGTATAAATTCTGGAGCATCGCGATGAGGATATGTGTAATCAGAATGGCTGACTTGCTATTTGTAACAACTTTAAATAACTAAATTTTGAAAAACAATTTTTCGAATACCCCTAGGTGATAGAGGCAGCGGTGTGGGTGTGGATGTGCCCATGATGTTTTTCTTCCTTCGAAACCAACACTTCGCACCCACACACATGCACCCATTTTTCATTGTATTCAAAAGCATTTAAATAGAATCTTCAGCAAATTCGAACTGAGTTATGGTTCGCTCTATGCACCCACACGCTCTATCGATTGATATGTAAATAAAAATATTGGGAGATCGGATGAAAGTCCCTTAAAACGAAAATTACAGATGTTCAAATAACTATTGTATGTAGCATTTATACTATGTATATATTGTATGAAAGAAATAGATTGAAAGATTTTTCCACACTACTAATGCTAATAACGATATCTGCTATCTCATCTAAAAGGCGTTGACATGGTACATAAGCCAAATGGCACATATAACCAGCCAACAGGGAAAATATTATGAAATTCTCAATAACAGTGTAACCATGATATCTCCGTTGGGAAGTCTACACTAATTAGTCCGTTTCATATAATTTGTGTTTTGACATATTTTGTTTTCGATGACAGAAAATAAGAAAACGTTGTTGACGTAAAGGGTATACTTCAGCTGTGTATGGAGATGATATGTATAAAGCCTCGCATGCTATGCAGAAACTTGCATCAATTATTTAATATAACCATTTCTGATAAATACTGACATACCGACGAAACATGTTTTATTCTGTTTTACTACTGCTGGTATTATCATTTTTAAGCCGAGTGAATAGCCGAAAAATCGATGCCTACGGTATGCCACAGTATTTATAATTAAAGAAGGAGACAAACGTTTTTATATCTCATTGAAAAAATGTATTTTCTTCCATTATTGAAAATCAAAAAATGTCCAACATTCAGCACGTAGTTTCTTATAAGAGGTTGAATACTATCTTAAACTTGTGTAACTCTAGGATTAGTCATAGACGAAATATAAAAGTTCGAACTATGGAAAAGATTTTCTCCGAATGACGAAGTAAACATTTAAAAATTAAACATTTAGATGAAAGTCAGAGAGTAGAGGAAAATGAAAACATCATAATAAAGGAATATTATGAAGATGAATACTAAATAGAATTATATTGAGAAATCATCAGATGACTATCGTATATTTCTTTAAATCAAAAGTGTTACAATTCTTAAGGGGTAAATTTGAACTCCATTTGATTGCACAGACGGTGATTTTCAACTGGCCTGTATTCTCGAGTTAGATGTGATGAAAAAAATAAGCGTTTATATCAGCCATTTCAAAGAATATAGATCAATGAAATAGTACAAGGTTAATACAAAGAAAATTTGATTTGTTACGTAAAAGAAGTCAAGATTGCTAAGAAAATATCAAATTTTGTTCAAAAATCAATTTTGATCCCTTTGAATTTTTATAATCATTGAATAAAAATATCGCTGTGATACTTGGAATCCATTTAATTCTATTAAGATGTCTTTATTCGTGACCGACATGCAAGCAACCGGTTCCGCAATTCAAGCATTGAAGATGGTGAAGTACAACGACTGTATCATCGTATCCGCCGTAACGCAGGTGAGAAATAGAACTAGGTTAGATGAGAACTGTTTGTATGATCAGGGAGTGAAAGAATAGAATATAAGCAGGAGAACTTTATGAATTTCTAGTAAAAATTACAAGAAAATTTTTTTCTTGACATACAAATGCTAATTACAATGAGACAAAATATAGATCAAGATTATTGTTTTCAAAACAATTATAGAAAAAATTAAGTCAATTTATGCACGTTTGAGACACATTTTACCTTTTGTTTCGTTTCAAAAGCAATGCAAGTACGCGAAATCTTTTGATTAACATGTATAGCTTGGGTTCTAGTCTGAATTGAGTTTCTATTCTCGATTTAGTTGGTTGGCAGCAGTTGAAGATTAGCTGAGTAAATGCAACTTTTCTTGAGAAGATAAATATTTAAGATAATTTTGATATTCAACAAATCTTGCTGTTGTAAGACATACCTGACGAGATTTCCGCTTAAAAACCTACTGTGTATAATATGTTAAGTGTACGTAGGTTTTATGATCATTGATCACAAATCGAAAGAAATGATCCCACATAATATATTGCTTCTAAATACATCATTAGCAAAAGTGTTGAAAATTGAGTAAAACAACTCGAGTTCAAAGTTTTATAAGCAATCACTATGTTACAAGTAATACTGTATACATCATTAAGAAAGCTTGAACTCTAAAATGAAACGTGGTAGCTCTTACGAACTTTTCTACAAGGTGTCATTTATGAGACTTTATGCTTGGATCATAATTGAGTGACTACATGTAATAATTCTTGAAAATCAGTGCTTAATTCAGTTAGAAAAGAGTGTTTTATGTTTTGAATAGTGAATTGCTTCGACGATAGCAAAGACTCATTTAATAACATCGCCTCTATCATAAAGACTGGACAAGCTTACAGTATTTAAAGCTTCTTCTAAAATTTGAGTTACCCACCACTACAGATGTAGCGTTACTAATTATCGAGTGCTACCGTATAAAATTCTATTACAAAAACTTATTCTAAAACAAAAACAAGCAGTTCTATTCAGCTTTCAATATTCTTTCCAATGATATAGGTGCATGCGCGTCGATCTAAATATTCTCTACAAGCACTCAGATTCTGAATTTTCCTTGAGAATTGATATGAGTAAGTGATTTGATAGTTAGCATTGATGCTCGAAAGTTCTTGGAATTCATTATGTAAACTGCATCTCGAAAAAGCACACATAATTGTGGAAAAATACATGATTCCTAGATCATCATATGAATATGTTTCAGTCGAGGGAGCGTCATTTCACAAACCTAATGGTATCATATTCATTCAAAAAGAGATGTGCATTCAATCACAGAAATGTTTTCTCTTCTTTTTTTCAGCAACTGTCTCCGACAAGCAGCTCAGCTATAAAAACGTCTTAACCAGGAACAGTCCCGCGTTTTCGAGACCAGGTGGTGGGTTACTCTCTTACTATTTCATGGCGATTCAGGTAACGGCGTCAACTGGCGCCTCTTACACATTTGTGTGCAGCAGTCGTATGGACACTTACGGATACCTATATACTTTGCCATTCATTCCAAGCAGTCCACAATCGAATCTAGTAGTAGCTGAAGATGACGGTGGCTCTCAAAGCAATTTTCAGATCACAGCGACTTTTACGGTGACTCAATCCATGATCCTCGTTGTTACAACATACCATCCGGACGACATAGGAGAATTCAATATTTCAATTCACGGTCCCGCACAATTAAGCTTAACGCCGTATATTTCCACGTCAAATACCGTAACGAACACCAATGAAACAACCAGCGTAGACACTATTGCAACGACTACTACAACTGCTACTACTACAATTTCTACAACTACTACAACATCCATAATTACAACAGCAACTGCAGTAACCACCAAACGAGCTACTAAAAAAAGCACAAAAAGAACTAGTAGAAGAACTACGAAAAAATCCATTAGACCAACTATTACAACGCCAACTACAGACACAAGTAGGTGAAACTGAGTGCCAGTTTGAATGACCTGTGGTTTTTTTTTACGGTAGGTTGCTAATTTTTAAAGCATATTTATGAAAAGAAATACATGAAACATAACGAAAGCTACGAAAATAGCTATAGATATGAAGCGAGCATCTTCTTTTCTTTGCGATGCTATTCGATCCTTCGCCTGGTTGCTCAAGTGAACACGTTAATGTTAACCAAAAAGGTAACTTCAGTCCGGTTTCAAACATCTAGTAACTGATTCTATCTAAACATGATACTCTAGTAAATTTTGTTTATTTGTCCAGTGAAATGGATGAAGAAAGTTCATTACATTTTTAGTGTTAAGGCAATGTATTCGTTCATAAATAATTACTGGAGATATTAATTTTTGTTCGTTAAGTAAAGTTTTAGAGACTACAGCTTGGCATCAAGCACTCTTTCCGATAATTCTTAACAAAATCATGAGACGTAGCTTTGTTTTCCTAGTTCAATTATTTGACGAGAAAGAGCATTCAAAATTGAACAAATTTATCTGCGTATTAATTCAAAATGCAGAATTTTAATAAAACTTCCAGATATTTTCAATTTTAACCAGTCACAGTGCTCATTACGTTTCACAGTATTAAAGGTGAAAAAGTACATTATTAGATTTGGTAAAAAACCAATGTATTTTGAGGGCAAGACTTTCTCGTTCAAAAGATACGTGTCTCACTTTTAATATGATTTTCTTTTCAAATGTGACAACTCTTTAAAACTATGAATTACAAAACCAGAGAAAATGGCAGGAAAATATGGTTTATTGAAGTTACTTTTTACTATGTAAGGTTCTAAAACAGTCACACAGAACACATCCCTCAAAGAATAGCAACCTGATGCTGTAGAGAAGAATTTCTATTCTTTAAAACAAGTTGGCTTCTCCAAATATAAAGTTTCGTTTCGTATCTTCTATTTGAAAGTTAGCCGAGTATTTGACAATAGAGAACGATTCATTGAAATAATGAAGAAAAAACTACTGTTGCGATGCATTTCAAATTCATTGATTAAACCATAGATTTTCATGAATCCAATTTCATCATTTCGAATTATATCTCAATTAATTTGATGTGCTCGGTTTTGATATTTTCCTTGTAACCCATAAATTTGAAATACATGACAATGAGTGTATGATTCTTCATTCGAAGTGCGATTTTTTTCGTGCTGTCATTGTTGAAGTCTATAAGTAATAAGTATGAGAACGAGTTAAAAGTGAAAAAGCCTTAAAAAAATTGCTAAACTTATCTATTTTGAACCGAATGACACAAAAATACCGTTCTGTTGTGTATCAAAATAAGCAGTACATTTGCTAAATGTTATTACCAAAGGTTAATAATGAAATGATCAATCAGCGTAAAATTTATCTTGAATGATATAAGCATCTTTTTTCATTGCGCAGCGACTACGTCTGGTATCCAGTCAAGCTATTCAGGCGCCTTGACCGAGAAAAGCTCTTCGTTCATGCGGCCGAAACAAAGAGGATACGGTTTCTACTTCTTGGCGATTGAAGTGGCGATCTCAAGCAGCGGCATTTATACGATTATATGCGAAAGTGGTATCGATACTTATGGATGTCTCTATAATGAATCGTTTCTTGCAAACAGTCCAAATTCGAAATTAATAGCCACAGATGATGACAGCGGTTCAAAAGGGAATTTTAAGCTGATAGCAAATTTGACAACAACTGAGTCTATGATTCTCGTTGTTACCACATGCAACGCTGAGCAAACTGGAGCATTTAAACTTATAGCCTACGGTCCAGAAAAAGCAATTTTAACTCCGTACGTCACAATACCACTTACTACAACAAGCACCTCTACAACAACGAGCGCCACTAAATCAAGAATCGGAGGTAGGTGAAACTAAACCGCTAGATTTTATAATCAATAGTATAATAAGTTAAGTGTGATTTTTCTCAAGCAGCATTCTACATGGAAACGAAGAGAATATGAAGTAAAATCACTTCCATGAGTTCAAATTCTCGGGTAACTCATTTTTAAAATTAGAGCGAACAGCAATCATTCAACTCAAATTCCTATTAATGCAAAGAGGATACATATCGTTTCTTTTCTTTTTAGAAGTTTCCTCGAGCGAATATGTAGCTACTCAAGCGATAAGTTCAATATATATGCGTCCGAACAGTTTAATAACTTGCTTTCACGTGCGCAATTTCATGTTTTAGCCTCATGAATGTTTTCTCACGGTAACTTCAGTATGATGTTGAAAGAGACTGTATACTAATCACCTGTAGATTAAGGTGTGGTAGACAGAGATATCAGGATTGCACAAGCTTGATGAATAACATCTTCATTGGAAAAAAAGATGTAAATTATTCTTCATTCTCTTCTTGTGCTTAATTGACAAAACAATCGGCTGTTTTCTCATATTGAGTTGATTTTTCTTGTAATCTGACATCAAGCAAATAGGTGAAGAAAGTTTTTGCACACGTTTTGTTGCATTCACGGAGCATTCTATTTAAATGGCATGCTATCGTCAAATAATAAGAACACATACAAGACTTTCTTTTCAATCGCATAAGTAGATAAAAATTAAGAGTCAAAATAGAACAATAACAAAGAAATGATTCTTTTATGGAACGATATTTGAAAAAGATTGATTTGAAGTCACAGCCCGACAAAACAAATTGCGGGTGGTTCAAGACTTTCTCATTGACTTCTATTCGTTTCCAAATCTTGATAAGAAACAATAGAATCACAAATTACTTTATCATGCAGTTATTGTTCAAGATAAGTATCTTGAGAACAGTAATGAAAAATATCTATCAGTTGATTCTTTTTCACTAGCTGTGGAGCTAGCTGATTATCAATAAGAAGTTAAGCAAACCTCTTCGTACATATAGATACGCATGGATAAAGTTCTCTTACGTTAGTGATGAATTTTCATGACAACCAGAAAGATGAACTTCTAACCCTTGTTATAACTTTATAATGTTATCAACGTAGGGTGACATTGAGATTTCATCTTTTTTTTCGAGATTTGTATCATATTTCGTATTCGTGCGAAATTCGCATACTATCTAGTACTTCCTAGTACTATTTGTCTTTGGATACAAGAACTCGAAAAAATGCATTGAGACACTTTTGCAATGTGAATAAAAGAAATATGTTTGCCCTTTTCTCTCTCTAAGTGACAGGATAAAATATAAAATTATGATGTATCATATAGTATACTTGCTACAAGTGTATCAAAACCTACATAATAACATGTTTAAGTTTTGTTTTTCTAAACAACGCTGTATCAACATATATCAATGGGCCTCTATAACATTGTAACTATTGAAACGGACTGTAAATTCGTAAAGATAATAAAGTAACACTTCTAGAAAATTTGAAGTTGATACAATTTTTTTTGTTTTTCTCCTTCAATTGAGAATTCATTCTATAGAATCGCTCTAATAGAATTCTTAGAATTTTTCTATTCGTTTCTCTAAAACATTTATTTAGTAAGAATCTTTCGGTAGAATTTTCTCTATATACCTACTAAATTATTAGTAAAGATTTTTCGAGAGTAGCTCTTTTCTAAAACCGCCACTTCAGACTGAGAGATTTCATTTGTTTTTCGTTTTCATGTAGTTAAAATTCTAGCAGTGCGGTTTAAAACTGAGTCAATTATAACTATTTAACTTTGATTAAATTTTTGCTTCGTTAGTTCAATTACACAAAGTTTCAATACTAATTCTTTCGGTCTATCTAATTGATTAAATCGAAGTAGTTTTACTTGATTGCACTCGTTTTGTTTAAAAGATTTGTATTTTTATAGCTTTATTCAAGAGTTTTATCATTGACTAAATCAGTCTAATCGAGTAGTATTAAAGTAGAAATTTCTATTTAAATTAGTCTACATAATAATCATTCTGTGACAACTAACGTTATCCACATTTCTAACATGAGACAAGAAATTCCTTTTATTTATGTGAGATTCCTCATAAATAACTTGAGAAGCGTCGAAAAACAAAACAGTATTTATACTTATTTTCTCAGCATAGATTTACGAATGAACTTCCGCAAAAAAATTCAGTTAGATCTTTTAATTACTAATTCTTTCTTTTCGAAACTTTATGCCAAATTACCTATCGATTCTGGTTCTTCATGAAACAAACTTAAAAACACATGTCTCATTTGAGCTTTCTATAATTGTGTTATATTCACATATTGATCAAATATGAACGATTGTATCAATAGAAAACTTTTGCAATAACGTACTAATAACAGTTCATACAACAGTATGTTCGATTTTCTTTTGACTAGGATTTTGAAATTATCGTTATCTTCGCGATGAAAATATTTCCTGACCAGATTTTAATATTTGTTTCTTTTCCCTTATAACTTTTAAGATAATATAGAAACCGCGAAATCTTGAGGGTGTGGGTGTTATTGTTCCCATTGATTAAAGTCGATAAAATGAACATTATCATAATGAGATAAGAGAAAAAAAGAGTGAATCCTTTATTGTAAACTAATTTATTTCGAGTATAAAAATAAAATCAATTGAAAATGTTCGCTATTGAAATTCTTGATTCGATAAAAAAAGTAGTAATACTAATGCATGAGTTAAATTTAAAATAATTTCTATTACATTGTATTAATAATCGAATGAATTTTGTACATGCTGGTACAGTTGAAGTATAATCCGTCTAACCAGAATGATTAAGAAATGATGGGCCAGCTAACATCGTCACCATTTGTTTAAGTGCTGGCGTACGATCAGTGAATATTGTATAAACACGAAGAAAACTTTCAACCTAAAAATAGAATTATAGAAATATTACAGTCGTCAAGTCTTATATGAGTATTTGCTAGGAGATAACTAACACATTGAAGATAACTTGTGGGTCGAGCACTAAATAAAAATAAATTGAGCAAGTGAATCAATTTTTTGTATTTATTAAAAATTATGTTTCTACTTGTAATTGTTGTAAAAGTATTGCAATATTCATTTGATGCTCATAATTTTGATTGAAGAAGAACTAGCGACAATAATCCGAGACTTTACAAAAAAAATATATATAGCAACGATCGATTACTTTATCGTCACTTTAAAATTCATTATCTATCTGTTGAATTTATAAAATGAAAAAGAAATGGATAGTGTGTTGACAGACAATAAAACTTTTCGTTTTGTAAAGGAATTTTGAAAACAAATTTATATAAATCAATTTAAAACTATACCATGAACATTAGTTAGATATATGAAGTTAAATAGTTAGACAGAGAAATTTAGCAAGAATAACTCATACCAGTAAAGACATCAGACAACTAAGCATTTTTAATGAATACTAATCGTTCATTATGTTAACTGATATAGTTGAATTAGAACTCACATAAACATTTACAAATGGCAAGTGCTGAGCTTATTCGAACGTGTTATTTTCCTATTTCACATAACTAGTTTTCTGTCTATTTATAATTTAAATAGATACTTTTATTTGTTTTTAAGTTAATATAGAAATATAATCAGACTATATTGAACATTTCTGTAGAAATATGAAACTAACGATATATTTTGCAGTTTCGTACATAGCTAAACAGAACAGTAATTTTATTTTGTTGCTGTTTTTTTCCTTCTTTTCTTGTAAATCATCTAGAACTAATCGATTCTGATTCAGTGTCAAACATCATTAATAAGCAGGTTTTAAACATATATATATATATATATATATATGTGTTTTTGGAATGAACCTGAGCCAGATTTATTGAGAATTGGGAGGGATTTTCTTGTAAAGAATCTTCTAGTAGAAAGACATTTTCCTTTCATCCTTTCCCCTCTTTCAATAATTGAATTCATTTGAAGTTTTCTAACTTTTGAAGAATCTTCTTCGATTTCGATTAAGATATCTGTATGAAATGAGTTATTCTTACGTTTCCTCTTCTACTTAATATTCTTGCTAATGTCACAGAATAATTTTTCTACACTGTAAGGTAGAAAATAATTTATAGAGTAAAATAAAAAGTGTTCTATAAAGAAGGAGATCATTAATAAGAAAAATATGAAAGTATATAGGAATATACCCCTTTAGGGTTCAATTAAGAGAACAAAAAACTGCAATAAAAAATAATTTAACGATTGAAAACTATTTTCGTCATAGGAAAAGGAGAAAAATCTGATACTCAAGTTTAAAGATAAAAGTACTCGTAATAATAGTCGATAATATATCTGTGCCAAGAAGTACGTCACTCATGAAGGACTGGATATAATAGGTGTGACGATTTCTGATAGAAGAGATGCCTGTGTTGATGGTATTACACTTTATTTGATTCTTCATATCACCAACCGCAAGCTTTTACATATAAAACACGCACTTATATATATGAGTGAGTAACAATTCATCGTGCACTGATAAGCTGTGCTCATGAAGGAAGAGATATAGGTGAAGGTAAAACAAGTGATACGATAAAGGAGATATTTGAAGCACATGCAAACACTGTCAAGAGGAACACAAAGATACAGCATATACTTTCCTTTGGTTGTCACACCTAGTTTCTCATGATAATTTTTGTGTTCAGACATTCTAGAATGACTCATATATCCCATGCACTTTTTGCAGTACACATAACTTTCGGATGAAATCCGAAGTTTCCACATTTATTTTTTGAATAAAAGTTACTGAAAATTTATACTTATTTTATAGTTACAGGAAAATGACACCCATAGAAATACTTGCAGTTCTACGATATATTTGCTCATCATTGTTTACTATATAACATGCGACACTTTCAAATAATATAAACCCTTAAAATAATGACTGACGCTACTCGTTGCAGGTTGATGATTGTGGCAGTATTCAACTAGCTAAAAAAAAAGCGAAAAAAACTGAGTAATTATTTCCATAAACGATGAGA